CGTATTAATGTATGGTTGGAATTCCTATACTCATTCCATTGTTTTATTTAGCTTTAGTGTATTGTGCGATGCTCGTTTTGTTAAAAAAAAATTAATTTTATAATGCATCTCGGAAAGGATATTTTATTTTGAATTATTTTTTTTTATTTTAGTCTTCTTTTTTTGCTGGATTTTATTAGTGCATTATTTTAAACTTTTAGGACAAAACTAAAAAATGTTTTTTTCTTTTTTTAAAATTCTACATTCCCTGCCTTACTTATTTAGTTAGGCCCTACTTAAACCCTGCCTTAGCAAACTTTTGGCTAGTATTTTCGTGTTTGTTATTATTTTGTGTTCTACGATTTATTATATGATATTGTGTTAACTGTGTGTGTATTCAGGCATATAATTGCATAATATTATTATGATTCAGTATAACCTAATTATTAAGTCATAACATCAAATAAGACGTATACACCTGAAATGATCGTGAGTCAACTTTGAACTAAAATTGTTTTGGTGTAGCAGATATCTGATAAAGACTAGGCGATTATATATTTCAATAAGTGTTAATACTAATTATATAATAAAACGTATTGTGAAAATGATGTGGACCATAAGGGCCATTTTTTTAAATGTATATAATATTTTATGAATATTCAGATTCATTTTAATATTCACAAATTATAACGATATTAAAAATTAAATATACTCAAGTGTACGTTTCAATACACTAGTGTTCATCTAAAACTGATAAAATTATAATAAGAGATAATTTGTAAATATTATGACGACGCGATGGTACTTAGAATAAAGTCAGGATAAAAATACAAGTCTTATTATTGCGAGATAAAATATCGAACGACGATGTCGGTAGATATAATTATTATTGTATAAGAAATAAGTGCACGATGAAAAATAAAAACCGGAAGCTTTAATATAAACGCGCATTAAAAAAAAAAATATATATATATATATATATACAAAAAAAATTACAAAACTAATAAAACGAAGTTAACAACTTTTGAATGTAGAAGATAACGAGACTATGCAAATACACCTACTGAAGAGGTACGTATTTATATATTTATTTTTATGCTGAAGGAAAAATGTGAATAATAATGTTACGATTTTATCGAAAAGTTGTATTTAAGAGAAATGTAGGATATGTGGGAAATTTTAAGGGATATTGTAAAGTGTGTATTAAAATCCGAAAATACCACGTATTTTTTGAAAATAATAATAACACAGTTGAACGAAAAACACATCAGAACGGCCTCAAAATAATGAAAAAAAAACAATGATGATAATAATATTATTAATAATAATTTCGAATACCTAAATATAATACAATCTATATTGTATTATATCTATATTTAGAATCGCATTATTCTTTGTGGAAATGGAGTCGTGTACGGATATAAATTCAAAAACAGTCCGTACAGAGAGAATACTATGATTTTCGATTCAGACCGTCTACGCGTACAATAATATTTATGACGTAGGAGTTACTCAATATAATATTATACAAAGATTTATCGTTTAATGCAAATAACGATTTTGACGTCGGATAAATGGCTGCGAAAAAAAAAACTATAATTAATTTACCGTCATGTGACTAAAATGCAATTTTATATCGATCGAAATATGATTAGAATTAATTACGAAAATATTGGAGCGAGATCCTAGTACGTGCGAGACAAAGTAAGCAAAAAAATCAGACGGGGAAAAAAATCCATTGTAAAGTCTGACGACATTATAAATTCGAGAAAATGTGCAAATGTTATTTTAAAATAAAAGTCGTAACTCATATTATGGCATTCGAAAAAGAATATTTGAATACCTTTAACATATTATACATTTTAATATTTATATTCGTGTGGCTTATGTAGTTGGGTCTAAAGGTACCCACGGAATTTCTCTTTACCTTATTTTTATTTTTCACTTATAATCCGGATCATTGAAGTGAGAATTATTTTTGAAACACGAATCTTATTTCAGTAAAAACAAAGTTGAACTTATCAAAATGTTAGACTTTTATATACACAATATCCACACGGGTAAAAGTATATTTCACTGTTTAATGTTCACTACTCTGCTCCATTAAGTATTTACTGGACACTATATTATTATACTCTAAAACAGCTACTTGAATGCCATATAACGTACAGTGAATGATTTATTCCACGGTCATAGATGTAGACGGTGTAAAAAAACCGTGGTGTACATCTAAATACAGTAGAAAATAAAAGTACCATCACACACAACTGTTGTCAAGAACAATTAATATACAAACAAATTGCATTATGAAAACAATATTATAATTAGTAATTACCATTTTACTAAAAAAAATGTATAATTTTATAATTTAACGGAAGTTAAATTTGCCATTAACATAAATAAACTGATAAACTTATTATGATATTCAACATAATAATATGTAATTATAAAAAATTACAAAAATCGTTAAGTTGTTATTATCGAAATAACAAAACGGCGGTTGACGTCACCATTAGAAAAACGTAAATATTTTTGGATTGGAAAATTTTCTTTTGCTATTCGTTGTTTGATTTTAATTTTATTTGACTTTTTATGTTTTCTTACAATTTTTAATGAATACTACGGTGGGTTAACGATTGCGCATTTGAATCGACGTGGTAGCTTTCGTTTATTATCTGTAAATTTGCACTCACTATAATGTACACGATAAATGGCTTATGGTTTTCGACTTTTATTGTCATAATTAGTAGTAACAGTACTTGCAGTTGTGATACTTAACTATCGATCGTTAAGGTAGCACTAAAAAGTTCGTAGTCCCTTTCTTCAATCCCGGAATGACTCTGAAATTAGTTCTATATTAACAATGTGAACTAATTACTGTTTAAAAGAAACCCTTTAAGTATTGGATAAAGACGACTTATAAACATTCTGCTCAATTTCGTTTTTCATCAGAAACAATTTATTATTAAGGACCGGTATAAATTATGAAATTACCCAATGCATTCTCCCTTCTAAAAAAGTAGCGTAAACATCGGTAGTATCGTACTTTTTCGAACGTGTAAACAGTTATTTCGAAAAATTCAAGATCCTATATAATATGTTACAGAAGATTACAAATAATTATAAAAGTCTCGATCTTAGAAGATAGGTAATATAATTTGTTCGAAAGAGTTTTATATAGTACCTAGTAGCTTTATAGTACATGACGCTAATATTTTGAAAAGGTACCTAGTTTATATACTATGTCAGTAAGGGTTTTTTGAGAGATAAAAGGAAGAAAAGCACACGCCGCTGTAAAAACCAATAGTTTTCTCGGTTTTTTTTATAATTTGTAAGTACATTACTCTGACACAATACAGTAGGTCTGGATGAAGTTTCAACAGGAAAATACGCACTGAATAAAAAAATTAGGAAAAAACCAGCGGCGACCTCGAACCGTTAAAAATATATCCGAGGCGCGCGTGTGGTTTTTCTGCTTTTCATTTATGAATTTCCAAAAAAAAAAATTATAACAATGTATTTGTATTCCGCAGTAATATTAATTTGTTTCTTATTTAACTCTTATTCACCGGGGTTGGTTTATTGAAAATACACTTTTTAAATTTAAATGTAAATTATGATTTTAAATATAAGTTCATAATATTATATTCAATAATTTTATAACGAATAATGTAATCAATATATTATAATACAGGGTTGGAAAAGTATTTTTTTCATTAAATATGAACTAATTTACGTTAAAATAAATAGTTTTCAAAATAATTAACTAGTAAGTTACTAGTCTTTACCAATTAAAATAAGAGTAGACTATAATAGTCGGTTTTTTGCATTTTTAAGTCTAAAAAATTATAAAATATTTGCGTTCATTCTGGTGCCGATGTGGAGTCAATCTGATTAATAGTGTTCCATTAAGAGCGTTTCCCCTTGTCACGATTGTATTATTGTTCTTATAATCTTCGTTTCGTACGCAGCACTTGTCTAGGTCACTCCTCTAACCACTTGTAAAGGGTGCAAATTGTTTAGCCTAAGCTAATCATTCAAGGCTTGGAGCTTACCACTGCTATTTTCTCGCGTCTCTTACCCTTTAAGGAGCATTATTGATATTTATTCAGCTATGAATAAAAATGATAATAATTCACCAACAATTCCTGACCAGCAAATGAAGCTCAGATCTAGCGCTTATACTTCTACCAAAGTTTCGATTGATCAACCTACGTCCGCCCCACTTTCATCTGAAAAAATTAATAATATAATTTCGGTCTTAAGAAACACTTAGAATGATATTTTGAAGCACTGTAAAGCCCTTATCCTTTCACCTACCCAACATTTTGGGGAGCTTAAAAATAGTTTTGACTCATTAGCTTCTCAAATTGTCAATTTAAGAGCAGATAACACCTCCCTTCGTAATGACTTTTCTACTCTCAACGATAGGATTTATGTCTTAAAATCCAAGGTGGGTAAGTCATCTGCTCCAACTGACAACAACCTTTCCAACTTCTCACCTACAACATTGGCCACTCCCATCCTCAGTATCAGCTCTTTTTAACTCTTATAATATCATTATCCTCAATTGAACTACAATCCGAATTCGACATTTTTGAAAATAGGGAGCATGATATTGGTCTTAGTCCAAATAAAAATAAATGTCATGTTATGACTTTTTCTAGACAGCAATCTCCTATTCACCAAAACTATTCATTTAACGGCATCAGTCTTGACCGGGTTTTTCTCTATAAAGATCTCGTTTTACATTATACTCCATTTTTAAACTTTAAACATCCTATAAATGTAACCGTAGGTAATGTATTAAAAGTATCAGTATTTATTAAGCACAACACCTCTCATTTTTCTTCTGCTCATTGGCTCCGGATATTGTATTTCGCGGTAGTACGTTTAATATTAGAATACGGAGTGACAGTATAGCGCTTTTATTTGGCTAAAAATGAATTAAGACTCGAGCGTGTTCAAAATAGGTTTCTTTTCTACGCAGCCCATATCTTCAAAATAACACACCCATCACATTAGTACTCCTTAATTCGTAGTTTATTGGAAATTCCACTAGTTTCATCCAGCCGAAAAGATATTGACGGGCAATTTATTTCTTCACTCTTAAGAAGCGCCACAGTTGCTGGTGATCTATCAAACGTATGATTCCGTATCCCTTTCTCCTTCTCCAGACACCTCTCCTTTTTCCTAGTACCAGCAGTGCCCACAGTACATCCCACGGTAATAACTACCCTTAACATAGAATTCTTCGTAATTTAAATAGCTTTGATTTCGATTTCAACCGTAAGTAGTTAAATGTACGACTAATTGTAATGTTTTTGTATTTAATTTTTTTTTTTTTTTTTTGTAAAGTGGTAATGTATCACCATCTAATATGTATTTTGTTGTCTCTGCATTATTTTCGTTGTTACTGTGTATTATTAGTATTGTATTATAAATAACTGTTACTTGTAAACCAAACCCTAAATGTAGTCATAAAATTGCCGAATGGCGTTTATAAATAAATAAATAAATTTATATATAATATTGTTAATTATTTTAATTGCCCTGTTTACCAAATAAAGTTTGTTTAATTATGCGTTAACAAATTTTCTATAGATAAAATAATATGCACAAAATAAATAAACCTTTTTGACTTAAGCACAAATTTATGTACAGTGTACACATTCACTCATCATTAAAGTTCGAGGATTTAAATATTTATTCAACAGAATATCGTTAATATGATATCACCATAGATTGGTAAGCCAATTTTCCGGAGAGTTATAGTTTTCGGAAAATTGATAAGAGACTAGACAGAATATTTCAACTTTATTAATATATACAAACAATTTTTTTTAAATTATTGAACGGTTTGTTCATAACCGTATCATAACTGCCAACCGATCTCTCTTATAGTATCATAGTACCATATTTTGGTATTTCTTCTTTTTCAATAACCGTATTTTCGCGATAACAGTTAAGTACCTAATATCAGTACGACTATACATAACTAAGTTATAGTGTTATGTCAATTATAGGGTACTTCCACTTATAATGCTTTTCACTTTTCCTTGTTACTTATCCGACGTGATTTGCACAACAAATCGAGGGTTATTTTCGATTAAAATTGTCCGAATGGGCGCAGCGAGCGTGTGACCACCTTGGGTCTCTAGTTTCACCTATATTTTTTGATATATCTTTTATTTCAGATCCTTCATTCTCCTATATTTACGTCTACGCAAGGCCCAAAGGTAGATCTGAGAATTTTTCTTTCAAATATTAAAAGGTAATTGTGTTGTTTCTTATGGAGTGTCCATGTTCCGCATCCGTAAATCAACGTAAATTGAACGAGTATATAAATACACTGATCGGTAAATAATCGCACATGGACCAGAAAATGTTCAAGTAAGCACCAAAAACAAAATTATATTTCGAATTATAGATATATATTGGTTTTTTTTTTTTTTACATGAAATAATCTGTATTTTTATTTTTAAAAAACAGTTTACAGTGTACCTACGATTAAACATAAGAATCAAAAATGTATTATTTATGAGCATGTTCGTTATACATTATATATAATATACGACATGACACTCGTATAGAGTGACAGGGAAATATTTTTCTTTTTATATAACCCACACACTCGCAGTCGACGGTCCTTTTAAACTTTCAAATCGTGTTATAAGAGAAAATATGATTATATATGCACTTTCGCTATATTTAAATCAAAAATGCGTGTTTGAAACCCTTACACAGGGCGTGCCTAGGTATTTTGAGCGAATTCGCTATACATTAAAGCGTCGTACAATAATAATTACAAATTGCTACACAAAGCAAGTTCTTTTAAAGTCTGTACTAATTATGATTTATTGACGCGTAAAGATATACATTAAGTTACTCTGTATTATATTCCACCTTTCGACTTTCTACATAAAACCGTGGCGTCCACTTATATGTTCTGATATTGCGTTAGTAATACCTATTTATTTTGAGGTGGTGGTGATCGGTGACACAATATTTGATCGAATAACCAATATCCATGTCTATAATCATAATCAATAACATAGAATCATTTCACATTTTTCGTTCATTTTTATACATTTTCTGGAGAACTCGTATGTACGTGATATGTTTTAAAATTTACTTAGGTTACACTGGAAACACCCATCAGTAATATTAGTATTTTCTTTTTTTTTTATGAGCGTTTTGAAATCAATAATTCAAGACATTTGTAATAGATTATGTAACAATTATATACCAAATATGACGGAAAGGTACACGCGACATATTTGTGCGCGGTTTCGCGGTTTTTAAAGGCCAGGCACCGATTAATTTCCAAGAAGAGCATCTTTTGGTTTTTAGCCAAAGGACACAATTTCGGTCACAGCATATTGTTATGTAGTAATAATACGATATTAAATCCACATTAAGTTATAATCGAGGCTGCATTTCAAATTTTATATTATTATTATTTTCCATCTGAAATAATGAAAGATCGGAAAATTTGTAAGGAAAAACTTTTTTCATATAATCGAGAGCTGTGATATTTTGTCTGTTATACGCATGCTCACTACAGAAATTTATTTAGACAGGCTTTATTTCAAACGTATATAACGAGTATATCGATTATAGCAATAAGAATTTTGATAACAGATTCTTTATTAATTTTTTCCCGTCAAATCTACCAGAGATCGATTGTCTCGAAAATTGTATTAATATTTGTAATTTTTTTAATGAGTAACTTCCTCAAAAATTGTTCGTTTGAAATATATTATTTCCTTTTACTCAGCGGATTTAATATACATATATACAAGTGAAAAATTAAAAGTACTTGGGTGTAAATATAAACCGTAAAAATAACATGTATCAGGAAATAGCTGAACGAATAGCAAGTGGAAACAGATGTTATTATATAATCTCATATTTTTTAAATCTATATTACTGTCGAAAAGTACAGAAACATTGATCTATACTTGTTATCTGCCAAAATCTTATCTTACCAATCGTCACGTTTACGTTTAAAACATGGTCTACGTCAAAATGTGATAGTAGAAATCTGGCGATAATTCGATATATAATTCCGGTCTACGAACATTTGAAAGACGGAAAAATGACAAAGTGCACCAATCATATGGAAAACCAACTGCATTAACGTATCCAAGAGTCAAGAAATTAGAGCGGTTTAGTGATATTTGGAGAGCTGAGGCAAATTTCATAAAAAAAGTCAACACTGCAACGATACAGAGAAAACGGCTTCTGGGGAGACCGCGTACGAGATGAAGGGACGTTGTAGAAAACGATAAGCGAACGATGGATATGAATGCGTCTGTTGAATTAACATTCGACAAGGAATGGCGGAGAAGTTTGCTTGTGGCAGCTCAGGTTCTTTTAGGACCGTTAAGCAAATAAAGATATGTACATACATAATATGTACATTATGCGTGCATATTTTCAACAATTTTATTGCAATAGCTCAAAAGTTTTTTTTTTTTTTTTGATATCAGTAATAAACACTTAAACGATTTCTCCTGTAAGAAAGGGTTTAAAGTGTACAATGCTTAGACCTTGTAACAGTATTTTTTTGTATAATGGCCTCACAATATCTTAAACTGTTCCTGTATTATGGTATTAAATTTAATCCCATTAAGTATGGCACGGGGTTGCGGAAAACGGTTGCGGTTTATCCGCACACGTGTTTTTCATGATACTTTAAGCAGGTATAGGTACCCGTATTTACCGTAAATAACTTTACATATTGTATTATATGCATACAAAAAAAAAGTTGTAAACTAAAAGTTTAATCAAATCATTTATCTAAGTCTGAATCAATTTTTAACTGCAGAAAGAATGTAGCCAGAATATTGTTATTTTCATGTGCGTGTGGGTATACTTATATGTATTTATATACAATTCCACGCGTGAAAGTTAACCGTACTGCTTAAATAGTAAGACCCGCGGGAGGAAGTTTGAAAACTAATTTTTGAAAAGCGGATTGTTTGAAAGCAAAGTCTACGACGTACGTATTGTAATCAAAGTTTATATAGAAAATAGATTTATTCAAATTTGTCTCAGTTAGACAAACAGAATAATGTTTGTATCTAACCGTTAATGTATATTCCAAACAGGCGCATATTTCGATGGTCGTTCAATTTCGAATAAAATCGCAAAGTTCCGATCGCAATTTTCTCTTTCGAATTTTTCTTAACATTTGCACTCATAAATTATGTATATGTATATTTAAATATATTCGCAGTGAGATATTTTGTATAATTCAACGGTCGACTATGTATAGTTGAATTAAGTGTGAAGTATAAATCAGTTTTATCTCACGGCCAAGTCGATGGTCAGAATCACCGAAATCGCATTTAAATAACACATTATAGATAACCGATAACTATAGATCATATTATAGTCCCAACGAGAATATAAATCGAGATATTCCATAGCCGAGAAATACGTTTTAATAATAATAATAACAGCACTTATATCTACATCGACACAAATAGGGCAGGGGCTTAAGTATTGTAGCCCCCCTCCCAAAACTCAGCCAAGGTCTCTCCCAGATCAAGTGAGTACTAAGAATTTAATCAAATACCCTACCCAATGTACTCGGGTTACTTGTGACTGTGATAACTCATCTGGATAGTGTGTTACGAATATAATATGCCTACAAGTTTCAAGAAAATTTGAGATATTACAGTTTTTGTGTTAATAATTTCTTTCTGGAAAATAAAATTAATTAGAAAATAATTACTATACATCCACCTTTTCCGATTTATGCTATATAATATACCTAGGTACAATTTATCATGATCAATCATTAATAAGACAATTATTTTTTCGCACAGTATTTACTTTTTTGGAATTCGGTTTTTAGAACATATTACAAGCAGCTCCAAAATGTTACATAATCGTTATTTCTCGTGACTCGTATTTTATGGAGTGAAATTACCACCCACTTTTGATTTGAAATACGTTGAAAATTCCATAAATAAATGACGTTTTAGTTTTACATTTTAAAATTTAATGTTGACAAAATATTACACTTTTAAGTTTTGGTACAGGGTGAGCAGTGGAGCGTCATTTGTGTGGCAGCGCGACACGTGCTATTTGAATAGTACTCCATTACTCTCCCCTACCTAAAATTAAAAATGAAACACCTCGTCAATAATTCATTCCAATTAAAACATTATCTATTTAAGACATTTTTAATATAGGTTGCTATTTTAATATAAAAATGTTGATAGTGGTACCCCCTAAATTAAAGGGGACAAGAAATAAAGGTTATATAACGTTTTAGAGGTGTTTGTTTCTAAACAGTTCAAGAGCCAAATTCCGTAAAAGTAAATACTGCCTGAGTTAATGAGTGTCTTATCGAATATTATTCGTTCTGTATAAAAATGTCAACCATTTACCACCGTACCGGTCCATCACTTCGATTTATTTTCTATAATAGTATAACAGCAAAAAATAGAGGAAATATTTAATTAAAATACACGTCAATCATGGCCGTGGTCACTCATCGCCAAATAAATTACACAACCATAATAATATATTATGATTATAATCAATTCGAATCAGTGTCTCCTCATTAATATGTTAATTTAAGTCGGTCATAATAATTATTTGGGGAATACATTGCTCCACCTCACGATAATAATATTTATCAATATTTTCGGACGTGTTAAAATAGTGTTTTATTATACGAGAAAGTTTTTTTTTTTTTCAAAATTTAAAACATTAAAAACACGATGATAAAACTGAAAATAAAAATGACGTTTAATTACACCGGATTTGGTCAAAATCTATGGACACGCAGATATCTGAAATTTCAAACATTCCGAAATTTAATTTTCTCATCTATTTGTGGCAGCTCCACGGTGTTCGCATTTACATTTTGGATTTACCGTTTCACAATGAATGAAAATCATTTTTTTTCCCCTTTTGCAGTGATCGTCACTTTCAGTACTCATTTCAGAATTTTATATAAATTCGGTTTGACAAGGTAAGATATAATAATATAGTAATATGCTATATTTCCTTATATTTATAGACTTGAAATTTATGCACACAAATCAACAATGCAATGAATAAAAATTATTTTACCAAATGCTTGAAATGCTTGAAAATTTAATACGAGGTTCATTATAAGTGGTTCTTTGTCGTAAAAACAAAAAAAAAAATAAGTGTAATATAGACATTTTTTTTACTATTCTATAACCGAACTCAGAATCGTTTTTTTTTTTAGCAAATATTAATTGTTGTATTCAGATATAGGTACGTTAAATTGCTCTCTGCTATATACTATTTTCTCAGCTTCTCATCAACAACTATGGACCACCCATCGTGTGAAGTATGTCCGTATCTTTTTTCTAAACAATTGTCATACAAAAAAGTTACAGCTATTTAAAAAATGTAAAAACTAAAAATGACATTATGACAAAACTTTTAAAAAATAACAAGGCACGTACAACTCGCAAAATACTCTTCACTTTACGTTTCGTTACTTGTGTTTAAACTCCAATTTCAACCTAAACGCCATAATTTACGTTCTGAGTAACGCAATTTTGCTATGTCATGCGTTGGTAAAACGTAGACAGCACCACGGCGTGTTGTGACGTCCTCAGGTCTTCTTAAACGTAACTTATAACAAAATAATGTTTTCTTTGCGGTACTATAAATTGAACGTCACGTTATTGTTGTACAATTGTTGGTGAACACATAATAACAATATACGAAAACCCGTGTTTAAAAAAAAATGTATAATTTTAATATAAAAATCTATTTTGACCAAAGAAAAACATCGGTTATATCTAACCGATAAACTGGTGGTATGAATAATATTTCTATTGGCGGTTCAATGAAAAGTAAAATATTATTTGATGTTTACTGTTTTTTATTATTATTATTTATAGGTTTAAATCGAAACGTTCGCTAAATTATTGCCCGTATTAATATTATTATCAACAACAATCTCTACTTCTTTTATATTATTTTTCAATTAGTTTTTACAATAACTGCGAGAAATACGCGCGCACGTGGTTTAATTTGTGTATCATCAGATACGCCCATATCTTTTATTTCTCAGAGAAAACTTATAACTCGACGACTATTAAATAAAATCGCAGAAAAAAAAAAATAAATAAAAATGTATACATTTTTATCGCCTTCTAAAATCTACGAGTTAAAAACCAATGTAATATTTTTAAAATTATCTAACCGCGTGCATAATGAATAAAATATAAGTCGGACATAATATTATTTCCCGATTATCACAATAGTTGACGATTATAAAAAATTAAAGCCCTCTCCCAGATATCTTTTTATAATTGGATATAGTCATTGGATACACTAGTAAAAATTATTAAACTATCGGCAGTAGACATAATGATTTCGTTTATTTAAACGAAATCTATGTTTTAATAAAAGGAAGCGTATACAATTAGGTACAAAGTCTATTCGTCGGTCTGTGCACAATTCACAGCAGCAGTGGCGTGCCTAGATAAACCCATCGCAACGAGAAGTTTGAAAATTTGCATATAGAAGCGTATGAACGGGTCAGTGTGCTCTTTGAATCTAGATTTCCGAAAATCGGCCCAAAGGGTAGTTGAAAAAAGGTTTTTCGTGTTGATAGAACGAAAATCGAATTATTTCCGTAGGCTCCGTACGGGTGACACGGATGAAATAAAAAGAGAGACAGGGAAATACGTTAAATTGAATTTATTCAATTGGGTTTTTTTTTTTTTTTTTGCTCTAAAAGCAATTTTTTTTCGGCCTAAACAAATCGCATGTGTTACAAAATTATCCCCTTCCCAGAGATAAGAAAATTGCCATTTTCGCGAGATAAAGAAATTTTCATTGTTTCTTTAATATAAATAATTAAAAATAAAACATTTCGTTACAATACTCGTACGACTATTGCGCATTCTATGCTGTTCATTGTTTGTTTTATGAAATATTTTTTTTTGTCTCCATACATACCTAAAAATATTACAAAAAAAAAAAAAAAAAAAACGGGAAAAATGAGATTTTTATTTATTTTACACGCTTGCAGTATGCTCGGCTTTATTCGCTATTGTGCCACGTGATCAAAATTCGAGAGGTTTCGTATATATTTCGCACCTATACTGGGTGGCTATACTATTTCTTACGGTTTTTTGGCCCCCGTCGGATTATTTTCATAAGTGAAATGTCTACATTTTTATACGACAAACTCGTTTACGTCCCGAACCGAAAGTAAGCAAAGGAAAATCCAATATACATATACACGCACGAAGAACAAACATTTCATTTTGATATCGTTGTAAATCGGTAAATGCATAACTGAAATTGCAGTGTACATAGGTACATACCTATACTTATTTAAAATTTACTGTTGATTTGCAGGTTGCTGGGTTTTTTCTTATTATACATCGTTTTGTCGATTTCAAACATCTATTGTTCGAAATATCTTAGACGTTGAGTAGTTACCGGTTAAGGAACTACACTGCCAAAGGATACACAATTGAATTTATGTATTTCTTTTAAACGTATTCATAGATGTATTTTCAATAGTAAATCTATGTCACCGATAACTTTGATCATTTTTAGTTTTTAAAATTATTTATTTTGTTCGTTTTATTACCCAAGTATTGCTTAAAAATACTTTTAATGTAAAAATACGATACATATAATTTACTTGAAAATTATTTGTAAACGTTTTCATTTAAAATGGAACCGGTCAGATGTAATATGTAGGGCAAATATATTGAAAAACGATCAGATAGAAAACTACTGCAGTGATTTGTTTTTAAAATTTGTAAAATAGAAGAACTTTTTAAAAGTTACGACTTTAAAACAGCAAAAGCTGTTAACGAAATTGTATTCGTATATTATACTATGTAAACAATTAAAGATAAACACTTATACATATATTTTTTAACTGTACTTTTAAACTCGATTTAGCCGAGTGAAGTTATTTTTATGGCTAATACACAAAATACGCAGTACATTACACATATTCTTTTTATAAATTGAATTAACGATATTTTGTTTTAAACTGTGGCATTCAACTACATAACGTTAATTTTATTATTTGGTCGAGACAGTTTACATAATGGTATACGCTTGTACATATAGATAATTCTTTTTATGCGTTTTCACTGTGTTCTGTGTCAATATATTATAGGCAATTGATATGTACTTTATTGCGTCTCTGACTGAACAAAATTAAACTGAACGACTATACGAAATGAAAAAAAACGTTAAAAAATATCGCCACCCTTTAGTAGGTTACGGAATATGTAAAACTATCGAAAAGACATACTTACCCAATATGGAGTTGCCCCGAGGCGTCGCTAATCCTCCCATTGTCATCACGTGTGAATGATCCGCGGTGACGACGATCAGCGTTTCAGATAAATCGACTTTGGACATGATGGCTTCTAGCGTGGTCTCCAAAACCAGAGTTTCTTCTAATGCACGATAGGGATTGTTGTAATGATGCGCGTGATCGATGCGGCCACCTAAATGATTTACAATTTTTATTGGCCGTAAATAGCATATTGGCTAATTAACGATGTCTAGATAAAGATATCGTAAGACGGTAATATAGAACGAGAGAGCAAATAGAGCGTTTGGGCTGTATACCTATTACCTTTGGGCAGTGTATGGTGTACCACACGTGATCACATTATTGATCATGCAGACGATATAGAGAATGAGATATTCATAGTTTGGACCATGTCTCTTTCAATTTAGTTCATCTTGATGATTAATAGGCAGGGTATGAGAATTTGCTGTCCATTATTTAATATGTATATGGTCTATAGTGCTTGCAGATGAATCGGTCCGATGTTTCAAATTTTCCTAATTCTTAACTAGTATCCTACTATTACACATACGTGGACTACCTATACCTACAATTAATAAATAAGGTATACGTATATATGGAAATGTACACGAGTAATGAGACTGGGAACAGAGTGAACAAAAGAGTGAAAATAGGTAAAGATGTAGTGAAGTAGTGGAAGGCTAAAGCCTGTCAGTAAAAGTTCTAAAGAAGAAGAACGAATGTTTAGATGGGGACATTGTTTGATTATTCGGCTACTGTTCTTAGACCGAAATGGTACACGATGTTTTTCGAATAGTGTTCGACAATTTTTCGATAGTTTTCACCGTCTTAAAAGTCGATAAACATAATATTGTTTTACACAAACTTTTTTGGGGGGTTCGTAAGGAAACTCGATGAGTCGTTGTGACGGCAGAAATCCCAGGAAAATTTTACATAATATGCATTGTATAAACTGATAAACTTATTAATCGCGATAAATTCGATTACAGGATACCATTTTAAGACTTTTATTAATTAAATAAAATGCTGCTTCGAAAGTATTCCCGGTCACTTTTCGTATCTATAGGTACTTAATACATATTATAACATCATCGGATATAAAGTTATGAAGTTCGGAAAATGATACTGCAGTAATAAATTTATGAAAAAACTTGATTAATTATATTAATTTTCGTGTCACAACTTTGTTCTGCATAATTTCTCGGGGCCGCATAAAACTTGGTCGGGCACGGTGTTCTATATTCTATATTCTGTCTATGCCCTATGGCTGCTGGCCGAAGCTTTTAAAAAGTTTTTTGCAACTGGACAATATCTCAATATTATGCGCGATTGAACACGTAATTTATCAAAACTATATGGCTAGTAGACAGGTAATATAATCATAATTATTACATACCAGTTTTTTTTAAAAAAAAGAAGAGCGAAAGGCGAGGAAAAGAAATATAATATAATATAATATAATATATTTTTATAAATGTCGCTATATCAATAATTAAAATCAGTTTAAAATTTCTCGACGTTAATCGATCTACAAATATTGATTCAGCCGTATTAAAATATCGACTCTAGTGCCAATGTGCACAAGCCAATTTTCGTCTCATTTTTGTACATAAGAATAAAGTCGGTTTTCACTTATGTACATGTACCCTTTTTCTTCATATATTTGATAACTATACCAGGTCCAGGGTCGACAAAACATTGTTCTGTTGTATTTAAAAATAAATCGTCATGGAGTCATGGCCCACTGATCTAATCAAAAATCGACAAATATAGTCGTTATTTAACTATTAATTAGCAAGAATAAGAAGAATTTGAAGGTTTAATTTTGAAATCATTATTTTCACGTTGACGATAAAAATATAGAAGCTGGGCCAACTTCACGTAGTTAATCCACTTTAACTCATAGGGTTAGAGTTGATGTAAAATATTGATGAATAATAATTGAGTTTATTAATTTGTAAGTTTTGTTTGGAACAGTACTAACCAATTTGAAGTATGATGGACTAGCCCAACCACTTTAATCCAGAGTTAAAATTTGCGTCGAATTGCAAGACCAAAGATTTTCAAAATGTAAATTTTGAAGGGTATATAATTTAAAAAAAGTAGAAATCGATAAAGTGATAATTCTGATAAAATGATAAGTTTATTTCACAATGGTAGCCAAAAATATGGCGTCCTCATAATAATTTACAAGCAAAATAATTTAAAATTGCACAATTGATTCATTTTAAATTGTCTAAGGTAAAATGACTTAAAAATGAAAAAAGCGACTATTTAGTGACTTTTGGTGATTTACCATCAGTCTTGTATAATGTACCTATTTATATATAAGTATATATATATATATACTTATAAATAATATACTCACTCTCGACAAACAGAAAGAATCCTTTGTTGTTCTTTTGGAGTATGGAGAGCGCTTTGACCGCCATCTCGTGCAGAGGCGGGTCACCGTCCAGTCCCTTGTTCCGGTCCACTTCGAACTCCATGTGAGAGTACGCAAACAAACCTATAGAAGAAATACACACACACACGTGAAATATTTTCTTTTTTTTGAACTTTGCTCAGCGGTTTACCGCTGTGTATCAAAGACGTCGAATATATACGTATATACATATAAAATAATATATTTCAACAGCACCGATATTTTGGGCTCTTGGCCAACGCCGGGGACCGTCACGAGACACCGGTTTCGCCACACAATTCCTGTATAGCTGTAGCAGCGGTTTGTTTTTGAATCGTTTCCAAAAATGTCCCTTCCAAAAGTACTAATGAAAAAAAAAAAAAAACCGCCCCCCCATTAGGACTGTCTCGTTGGTGTTACATTTTGCGTATACGGAGGAATATCGCAGCAATATGTGTTTTTACCCAAATTACCGAAAAAAACTCCAGTTTTCCTTTCATCGATAAATGGCATGAGATCTATCTGGGATGCTGTTGTGGGAGAAAAACAAGAATAGCATGAGTATCGAAAATAAAGCATAACGTGAAGGACTGAAGATTCAGAGAACCTATTATTTTGGACGTATCATAATAAGAGGACCGGAATTAGCGATATCAAATATTGGAATCGCATTGATTCGACATTTTGCTCATGTTAAAATGATAAATAATAACATGATAATCACGTCGAAGTTTCATATAATACTAAAACATAAATTAAAAAATAAACAAAAACATGTACGACTCGGTGAAAATCAGTTATTTTTTCCAAGAAGAAAGATAGTAGTTGCTAGTTAATTCCCATCCGTTTGGGATCTTATCGGACTCGATATATATTTTTTTATTTGGAAAATTAAACTCACGTGGGTCGGCATCATTTAGCGTCTAAAATAAAAAAACAGAAAAAAATTGTAAGCTTTTTTTAAAATTATTTTCAACTGATTTTTTCACTTGGAAACTTGATTCAAAAATAAGGAACACCCTAACATGTATATACCTCGTGAAAGTTTCGTACGTTTGCACATTAAACATGTATGATAATATACTCCTATGTTACTCCATTACTCGACGGGTATGTTTATTTTATATACGCTTGACATACGTAAATTCACCTTGTCACGGGGGCGGCAGACACACTTAAGCCACATTATTACACAGTTCTTATCGTAATGTTTGGCGACGCGTGTGTATGCACCGACATTGATGCTATATTGCATATATTATAACATACAAAGACACGGAACTAGAGATCTAAAATGGGTGTAAGGGCTAAATTTGTTTTCAGAATCGCGAAAATCATAATTTTAAGACTTAAACAGTAGATAAAGCGATGATAAATCATTGAAATCGAAAAACGATTCTGTGCAGATTAATATATTAGATGAGTATTTTCCCTGGTAGCCAAGGTGCCCAGGAATTAACAAAAATTAAATCGATATATCGATATTTAATAGATAAAGTGTTGAGAATTTTACATTTTTTTTTTAGATGCTGCGTGAAGTGAAACGATTAATCATTAATAACGAAAAGCGATTCCGAGCTGAGTTCGGTTATATATTCATGTTTTAAAAGGCCGTAATATTTACGATTTTCAACAAAATTAAAAAAAATACCACATTCAACTCAAGTTTTTCTTGTTTTACCTACCAATTAAAGATTACATAAAAAAACTCCCAAAATTAAAATGTCTAGGAATAGCTCAAAAATTGGCATAAAATGGTTTGAACATTTGAATACGTAAAGGAAATGTTAATATGAGTTTTCTGCCCAAATTTCAAGTCTCTACGAATACTTTTAATTGACAACAACAAAAAAAAAAAAATTGAAAATAATATATTTCGTCAATTTTTCCATTTTCTTATAGTATTTCCCAATTATAATGAAAATCGTTTGTAAATTAAAAAATTACCTTTATAAAGTACCAACCAAGACATAATTTTCTTTCAGAAAAAGGACTGCACTTGATACAGCGGAACAAGATTTCGGGAAGAAAACTTGTTCCAAGTAAAAAAAAAAAAATAAATACAAATCAAATAAACATCATTGTAAAACCAATAAATTCCTATCGCTTCACCCAGAATCTGAAAAACATATCATTAAAACCGATATCTTCTTCACTAAACACAAAATCACAAAATCTAAAATACCGACACATTTGAAAATTCGATATTTTCGTAAGGTTGTGCCGTAAGTGCAGTACTCGCAACAAAACTCATTGCATCGAATTTCGGAAACGTTTCTACGTAGCCGTAACAAAAGTGTATCCGCGTAAAACGAAAACCCTGGACACTTCAAAATATGAAACTCCGTATGTAAACGTTGAACATTTCGAATCTCACCGTTCGTGCGCTCGTTCAAGATTTTGTTCGGAACCGGTATATTCGACATTAATATTGTCGTTGTCAGTGTTTCCTATATATATATATACGCTTATATAAATGTATTTATTTTTTTTTATTTTTTTTTAAAATCACTCTGAATATTTCTATAATATATTGATCGACATCGCTTGACGATACAATAATAATAATAATAATAGAGAGTGTCGTTCGTCTTGGCGCGGAAACGAATAATAATAAATCGACGAGTAGTCAGTACGAAAATAAAGTATAATAATAATAATAGTGTATACGAAACGAATGACAAGAGTTTATTTCCGAACATATTTTACGACACGAGTATTTTATTATTATAATAATATCGGTTATATAATAATATATATATATATATATAGAAAATACGTGCGAAAAATAATAATACTTTTTGTGCATTTGACGCCATTATATATTATAATAAAGGCTATATGAGGATTTGTTAGGTACCAAAAACCTTATTGCCGCAGCCAGCGCGCCCTTAAGATTTTATGAACCGTACGCGATAAATAAATGCGTATATTATTCCGTTCCTTTCGAGAGTTTGAGTATTATGTTATTATGCACGTATTATTTGTATTTGTGCACCGCAAATACGCGTTTCGTACCTATACCACGGCAATAAAGAACGGAGAGAGTTCAACCGCGGGCTTATATATGTATATATAAATACTTATATGTTAACGATAGCCAAACAACGACCGTATAGGAGGTATAAAAAAAAAAAAAAAAATCCACTTTACGATAATTCCGAATTTATAATATTATTGAATTATCGAGTCTATGACGTGGAGTGATAACGAACGTAACACGTTTTCCGGTGACCATCGGTATATATATATATGCATATAGTTATAATAAACTCCCACATAATAGGCGCCCGGTGGGGGGGAACAAGACGGGGCAACTGTCGCCCCCGCCCTGAACTTCAAAATTCCAAACATAATTTTATTTTATATGTTTTTTGGTGTTCGATTTTATTATGCTCCTCTCTAATAAATTTCCGGCGGGCGCCCATGTCTGACACTATCGTATAATACGCGTGCAATTGCGTGGAATTCAATTGAAATTATTCCGGATAAATCCTCCTCTCTTTTTTTTTTTATTTTTATTTCTGTATCAATTACTTAGAAAATGGTAATTTTAAGACCACGCGACCCGTTATTGGTTGGTTCTGTCTAACACACAGACACAAAACAGTGAATCTGCATTCAGCAGAATCAATTTTCTACATTTGATATTAGAGTTCGTTGACCAATTAATAATCAAACTTCAAGGCGATAACAGATAAGGATTTTTGAACTATAATATTTCACAATCGTATTTCGCTTAAAATTTAAATAAAAAACAATTGTCGTACAAACACAAATAATGTTTCTGCCTTTAAACTTGATAGTTAGTCGATCCGCTCTAATATCAAAAATAAAAGCACAAAATCGGTTCTGCTGAAATCAAATTTTTTATGCCGTGCGATTGTAATGCGGAGAAAACATATTACTTAAGAAAGCGTCCTGTTGATATCAGATTTAATTTTTACTCCGTGTCAAACACCTATATTGTGTCAATCTCAAATTATTATTTTTTTGACTAAAATTGCGTTCGAAATTATTTAGGTACCTATTATGCAATATAAAAAGTGGTAATTTTGGGTTGCGATTTGAAGGGACATTTTTTTTAGATTTCCCCTCGTTAAAAAAAAAAAAAAAATAATAATAATAATAATAGTAATGAAAGTCCCGGGTATCTAAAAATGATTAAGTAATATATTCATAACTCAGGAATAGAACGAAAGAAGTATGGAAACGTGTTTCAATATCATACATTTTCTATTATTTTAGGTATAAACTCGCCGATCGTTAAATGGTTTTGCTAAAATTCAAGTACCTGTTATAGAGTAAGAGTTGTCTAGTAAATACCTGTAACGAAGAGGAGATTCGGAAACGGAATAGTAAATTTACCATCCTGAGGGTATTGATACACTAATGTGTTTACAATAAAGTTAACCCCAGTGCAGCGGTGGACTAAGTGATTTGCCGCCTACAAGTAGAAAGGTAATCGCCTCCCCTTTCACCATAATACGTTTTTTTATTTTTATTTTTTCAAACAACACATTAAAATAAAACAAATAAATGTATTTTTTTTATTTTAAAATGTATAAAAAGCAAACAGATTTAAAATATGTTTGAAAGAAATATTAATTAATAAAAAGGTGAAGGGAAAAAACGTACTCTGTCTAAATTATAATTTACCAATATCGAAAGATGATTTAAAAAGTGAGAAACAATTTAACATACAAAAAGTAAATCATTTTTATAGTATTTGCTATTTATTGACAGAAAATTAAAATCTCAAAATACTAAGCAAAATCAAATTGCATTTTGAAAATTGTTCAATATAGAATAATTAAAATTTATAGGAGTCCTGGAAATTCAATTTGTAATTTAAAATAACTAGGTGCTTTGAACAGTCCATGCATTTAAAGACCGCACTGGACTGATGGAATAAACAGTGGGACTGAACTGGATCGGACAGGTTTTTTTTATCAACAAAAAGATACTGAAATCGGACCGTTTTCATATACACTGTAATGAACCGAATCGAACTGTATTAGACCGAAATTTGTGAATAAGCTGGGCGGAATCGGACAGTTTAATTTGAAGATTCGGACCGAACAGGATTCAAAAACTGTGAATTCAAAAATAAAAAGACTGAAAATACCGGACCGTGCAGTGCTTTAGCGGTTTGGCATAGTATTTTCAGTACTACTTTGTCGATTTTTTTTTTCCAACGACATTAAAGACGAATAGTATTTTTTCTGCCATATTAGAAACAAATAAATACCTAACTTAAACTAGTTCTCTGATTGGTGTGTTTGTAGTAAATAAAAAAGTTAATTAATTTATTGTTTTCTTTTTTTATCAGTGAAATATTTGACACCCCGAAATTTCGCCACTATAATATTAATTAATTGTTCTGCTTATAGGTAAATCCTGCGGGTATTGTGTATATTAGCTGGAGTCTTATTGGTCTAATGAGTTAATGTTCATAAGAGATTTTTTCGTATAGAGGGATGAGTTGTTTTCGGATTTTAAAAACAATAAATAAACGCACGTATGTTTTTATATTTTTCTATAATAATATATATTATATTATTTACTACAGGACTTTAACTTTCTTAACTGAAAATCCGACTAAAGAATTTGGTGACGGATAAATTAGCGAAATACAGAAATCATAAAAATACCTAAAATTAAAATAAAAATACAATGAAATTGCAAATTTTTTTTTTTATAACATAAAACTGAACATACGATTATAATGCCGCCTAACGCTTTAAATAAAAATAAGCCTTCAAGTGGAATTTTTTTTTAACTCGAAAGAGTGGTGCACAATAACAGTGGAGCTTTAGACTAATTCCTAGTCGTACTATATACACATCATTGAACATGATAATCCTTTTTTTTTTTTTGTTTCTAAAATATAATGTTATTATATTATTTTCTAAAGAAGGAGTTAAAATTTTTTTTTTCGTATACTATTCGTTAGAAAATTAATTTTTAAAACTGAATGAAAGAAAATAGAGTTTCATATAAACGCATCGATTGCCAATTACTAGATTTTTGTTAAACTTTAATAGAAAAATTCACGAGTTAAAATATTATTTACGATCGAGAACAGTAAAACTGCACGTTTTACCTAAATCGAAATAGATGAGTTGCACTTGGATCATTAACCACACCAATAATAATTCATCTAATAATTTACATGCAGATTTTTACGATAATAAAATTAATAGCTATGGATCGGATAATTATTGTAAGTGGAAAAGGAAATCAGAATTTTTCCAACTTTTAAATCAATTTTTTGTTCTAACATTTTTTTTAAAATGTCTTTTTTCATTTCACTCATTACTTGTATTTTACCGGAGGGCAAAACGACGATTACTTTCTTTTAAAAACCAAAATACAATTCATCTTAAATTCGACCTAACCCATAGGATCGAATACCGAAACGAATGAAATTCGTGCACACACTTCTACAGTGGGATATTGATTATCTCATCAATCTTTTTTCCCTCGATAAATTCAAAAAATCGAAATCATAAATTTATTGATATTTGAAAAAAAAAATGTTGGAGTTCTATTAAAATACATATCATCATACCTAAAAGATGATCGACTTTCTGAGGATCTATTTTGTCCAGCTGATCTTTGGTCCATACGTATTCTGATCTGACCTTCTGTTTCTTTTTGTCTCTGATCCAATCGTCTATTAAATTCCGACCATCTAGACGTCTGCCCTCTTCGGTTTTTTGTTCCGGATCCTGTGCCACTTTCGGTAACCAATGCCTTCGGCCGCCGCCCAACAATACCTAAATAAAAATCAATTTATTTGAAATTATTATATTTGTATAGTATTCAGAGTATTTTTGAAGTTCGTTTAAATAATATTTCACAGTTTAAAAACGATGTATATGTATAGTTTTTCGTTTTATAGTAAAAAAAAAAAAAAAAAAAAATAATAATATGCAAAAACCTTTTGCTATGTGAAATAAAGAACCAGGGTCAACTAGATTCACAGTGATGAATGGGAAGTATACTCAAATTGCAGAAAATCAATTACACGTCATTAATGAATATATTTTTAAACATCAATATTTTGTTTCAAAATAAATTTATATCCAAGATAATTAACTTTGGATTTTGTGATTTATTTTTTATTTTTAAATAATCAACAGCAAAAAATATAAAAAATCACGAGTGATTACCACAAAACTTAAACATATTGAACATAACAGAAATGATTGCGCTTGTCAGACCTCTCTGAAAAACCCCGTATACGCCGTACAATTTCGATTCTCGAACACATTCACCACGAATAACAGGATACTCATGTATCATAAAATTATTATAATTACGAATAATTTCACGTTTTTCTGTCGTTCACGATATTTATATAATACAAGCGCCCAAATAAATACCATTATTATTACGGTACACGGTGTACGGTAATTCTGCGTTCGTTTTCACAATATCCTAAAATGAAAATCATGCGTCGAACAAATAATGCATACCGATACTACCAAAACATATACGATAGTTCGTACATGATTCTAAAATAAACAGAACTCATCGTTTCGGCTGCAAATTGTAATAGTGTCTGTTTGTCTATCCAAAAGTTATATACATTATTATTATTGAAGTTTTTGTGTTATTATTATTAGTATTAGTATTATATTTGACGATATTTGTATTAATACTTACAAATCAAAAAAAGAGAGACGGTTCCGTGAATACTTACGCACAAATCTAAAAACTTAAATCCTAAACTCATTTTCGGCATCATTTTTCCTTAAAAATAATTTAATAATTTTTGTCTTCACGTTCGGTGTACATAATAATAACGCGCTACGACGATACATTGTATTCTTTGCGCTGAATTGTGCAATCGAAAATTTATACTACTCAAAAATCACAATCACATTTACAAAAAATAAAAAAAGGCGACATTGTTGATGTGGTTCGCCACTGTTTTCAGCGAAGGAGGATATATACAGAGTTATTTGATTTATATGTAGGCAAATGTGCGAGTAAAAAATTGTGTTTTAACCGATCGTCGAGTTTAATTTACTTAACGAATTCGTACACGAACTCGTAGCTATAGATTCCGATCGTAATCTTGATTTCCAGTTCTTACCCACTTTGTGTTTAAGGTCATATTATTGAATTAACGTGCATAGAATTCTAGGGTTTGTCCAGCGAATTTGCTATGCATTCAAATTACGTTATTTCGCTAATTCGGCCATAGCACAAATACAGCTTCGCCCATTTGAAATCCATCTACTCAGAATGAATCGTTTTAGATTTCAGGCGAGTTCAGCCCAAGATTTTTGAAGATTTGCTATCTTATACTCGTAAAATCAACTCTCCTGCCGACAACTACTCAGCTTTACAATGTCCGAGCCAACGAGCAGAAGAAAAATGAGCGGTGTTGTGCTTAATAAATCCCAAGACTTTTTATGCTTTACTTACGATTACATTTATATGATGTTCAAAGTTTAAAGATGGAGTATAAAGTAAAACAAGATCTTTATAGAGGAAACACGGTCAAGACTGGTGCCATTAAAAGAATAGTTGTGGTGAATAGGAGATTGCTGTCTAGAAAAAGTCATAATACGACATTTATTTGTATTAGGACTAAGACCAATAGCATGGGCCCAATTTTCAAAAATTTCGAATTCGTATTGTTGTTCAAGACATTGATTAGGATTAGCGATTGCTCGAGAGTATTGAAATTAGAACCGATAAAGGTTGCTTTTATAATATGACTAATTGCTATGAGAACCCCACTTCCACGTAAGTAGATGCTATTAAGCTGATTTTTATCAACCCAAGATATAAAATAGCCATTAGGCCCCAGTTTAGAGCCGTGGATGTCAGGGGAAAGCCATGTTTCTGTGAGGATAATGATATTATAAAAGTTAAAAAGAGTTGATACTGAGCATGGGAGTGGCCACTGTTGTAGAAGAGAAGTTGGGAAGGTAGAATGCATAAGGTTATTTCATTTATATCTGTAAGCAACGATAAACCATTGGTTGACGAAAGGCGATTCCGAGCACAATTCGGTAATACATAATTTGAGGTGTAATATTTTTTTTTGCGATTTTCGTTTAAATTTGATTTCAAAACGCTTATAAAGAAAAAAGTCGTCGGATGATTATGGAAATTTTACCACGTCTAGGTAAATCCAACAAGTATTATTACCAAGTTTCCAGTCTCTACGTGTATTTATAATCGAATTACAGCAAAAAAACTCCCAAAAATTAAAATTTCTTTTAAGCTCAAAAGTGGCTCAAAAATGGTTCAAAAGTTTTTACGTTTGTACGAAATTTTAAGTTTTTCCCCAATAAAGTGCTTTTATTTAAAAAATGGCATCGAAAATAAAAAAATGGCATTCTAATATACAATTTATACAACTTGAGATTTCATAAAAGTTGCTATACGTAAATTGAGGCAAGTTTACTTGGAAAAAATGTATCCACAGACTAGAACAAAAAAGATAAAAATAAACAGCATTGTAAAAAACATTAGCTCCATTGCTATGCTCGGAATATAATACGCATTAAAAATGCTTTTTGAAATAATTGGTAAGAAAATACAAATACTTAATTTAAGTTGTGTTTAAATACAATAAAGTAAATATTTTTGTTTTAGTCATTCATTGAATACAAACATATAAATATTTTACTAAATGTTACATGTGAGTATACTTCGACAAAAATCTAATTTTTTAATAACATATTACTAACTTCAACTTTATCATCATGTGAATATTATTTTTTCTTATAAAATATTATGAATTATATTCATACGATATATACCTAATGTAAAAAAAAATATGTACAAACAATACATGGTATGTGTATGTGTACTTGTCAGTATCGGTTATCTCCTCCGAAAAAAACAAAAAATGAACGGTTTTTAATATTATTACGATGCGTATTAACATATCTATACTATACGTTTAAATAACGTATAGTATAGTACAGTGACGTATAGTAATAACTTGTCCTAACTCATCCATCAGTGCAACCCCCGAAAAATTGCGGGGGATTTACCCCTAGATCAGCACCACTGGTATTTAATATATGTTTCGTATAATATGCCGATTATATCTGCAGGATACGACATTTTCTCACGCAGTTACTTATCGCGTACCATGAGTTTGGGCGTTTGGATACCTGACCATAATACATTTTAGACGTCGCTTGGGGTACTATCCGAATCCTTGTGCACGGCGCGACTGTTTTTCAACGAGAATACCAAACCAGTTGCGCAAGCGACCGTTCGGTAACTTTGTAAACTTGTCGACTGAAACAAGACCGATTTGAATCCGGTTTCTGGCTAATCTCGCGAGACTGGGCTTTCTGATCGGGTTCGGATTCAGTTATGGATTACACGGTGTTGTTGGTTATCTTTTCACGAACATTCCCACAAAACTATCGGAACAAGATTTAAGGGCTATCGTCTGCGACGCGACGACATTAATCGATTGCGAACCAGTCGCTTGCACTATAATACTGGTTTGAGATTCTCGTTCCAAAAACAGTAAGCACCGTGTGTGGAAGTCCGTAATTTCAAAACATTTTTAAAGGGATACAATATTAAGCAACCCAATCTTTTACAAGACTGCTGTACTCGTATTTCAATGATATTATGATAACGCATTACGTTCCACTCCGACTGCGTGTAGGTACAACTGCAATTATTACCTACTGTTTGTATTTGTACAAATCGGTCTGCGTTAAACCATAAACTACGAGCGTAGGTACCTCGTTATATTTTTTACAAAGAAGAATAATATTATACGTCCGCGAGAACAGTAGCATTATTTTTTAAACATATTATAGAAATAAATAACACTACACTACACTTACGAAATGCATGTACTACTCATATATTATCATTGTAAACGTGGATGATGAACGTGTGTAATGTGTACGTATCATACACTCGGTTTATTATACACTGGATTAAGTATACACTGGCACGGTGCAGTTAATTAATTCGTGTTGTTCAACAGACAATATAATAATAATGATAATATATAAAGTTTTGATGCGAAAACAATGTGTTTACAATGTGCGGTGGTACAAACTGCCGCGCGGAGTTAAAACGTTCAATAATTCACCGGCGCGGCGGCGGCGGCGTTTTACACGGGTTTAAAAGTAAATTTATCGCGATTCCAAAGAGAAAGAGAGTGAGAGAGAGAAAACTAACGCCCCCGAAATAATATTTTGTATTCGACGTGCGCCGTAAAGTCGGCACAATCAATTACCACATTTTCGGTCCAGCACTTCCAAACACGAATTTCACACTATACTAGTGTTTAAGGTATAGTAGCTAGGTAAGCAGCATCACTCTGCGAAAATATCTATGTCTTTGAAGAAAATGAAAAAAAAAAAGAGAAAATGCGGCAGTTGTATACTTCTTCGAAACATTTTTCTCAATAAACAATAATACTTTTTTCCATTTACTCCCGAACAATTCTCGACAAGTCTACAATCTATTTGCATAATTTTTTTTGCCTCTAATTTATTACATGATAGTATCCCGATGTCTTATTAAAGTATATAACAAAAATCAAGACATGTATAGATTTGTAAAATGATTATAAAGAGGGACATTTTTATCATTGTACAAGCGATTTTCCATATAAATAAACACGGACTCGTTTAATGATTCTATTTACAATATTTTCAAATATTTCATACCATAAAACGCATGAACTAACGAGTATTTTTAACTGAATCACAACAAATAATAAAATTGAAAAATACTAAAAGCATTATTTATTCTTACATATTATCCTGGTTTTTCCCAGATATTATGAAAACTGCTTTGGAAATTGAAAAAATGACCTCATTAAAGTACCGTCTGGAGAACAATTTCTTTTCGAAATGGTGCCGCGCGTATGTATCTCAGCAATATTTCTGGTAGAATTATTGTATACAGTATATATATAAAAAAAAAAAAAAAAAATGAATGTCTTAGTAAAACCAATATATTTCTTCGCTACACTCAGAATCTAAAAGGGAATATTTGTCTATAAATTATTAATACTTATGACACTATTTAAATGATTAACCGTTTATGAGTTACAACAGATTAGAATTTAAACCAGAGGAGTAGGAAAAACGGTTATCATCTAAAAATAGATATGGTTTTTATTACTCTTTCCTACCACTCCGGTCTAAATTTCAAACTGTTATAACTAAATTTAGGATGTTTTTGCGATAAAATAGGTACGGATACTATGAATAAAATATGTACCGGTAGGTACTTAAGTACTAAAAAATAATGAAAATACCGAATCATGAACACAATACGTCAAATAAGATACCGAATAATTAATATAGTTACTAAATTACTTAAAAAACAATGATACGATTTAGTTGTTATTTTCTTGTAGGTATATGTGCTAAAAACAGAAAAATCCAAAATATTCACTTCTAAATAAAAATCAGAAAATATGTAAATGTATGCAAAATAAAAGTTATATATTTTTAATGAAACGAATTTATATTTAAAAACCCATTATGAAGGACAATCAAAAAAAAAAAAAAGAAAACGTAAACACTCCAAAATCTAATTATAACTCATTAACTGTATATCTAATTAGTATTATGGTTACGCGAATATAACCAAATATTTTTTTTTTTGTACCTACGTTGAAATAAGGGTGGATTAAGGATCTGTTTACGGAGACGGCATTCAAATTAGACAAATTTCTACTTTGACTTTGAATTGCCAATGAAACTATGCATAAGAAATTGATACAATTTAACAATTATAACATAAATTGCATTGCAGATACTAGATCGCATAGTTAATTGTATACATTTTTAACGGAAAATATTTTATTTTTATTTAGTCCGTCATAATGAATTGTTATATTACATACATATACAATAAATAAATACAAATAGAATTATTTTAATTTTTTTGGCCCCAGTGCTTCCCGCTTCTCTGGATCCGCCCTTGCGTTGAAAAAGGGTGTTGCCGTTAGAAAATCAAAAAATAATACTCATTTAGGGTACAAGAAGCTGAGAAAAAAGTTAAAAATAGTGTTCAAAGAAAGCGTTAGTAATTCCATAAAGATTGCAAAATTTATATCTAAAAACCTTCGAGAAAATCGCTGGATTGTGATAAAAAGATCAATCTGTGTATAATTTGAAGTTAATAATATTGTTCTTTTTCAATAAAACTATGCCTTTAAATAAAATTACAATTTTGACATAAATACATTAACGAAATTTATAATGTTGAAGTAATAGCAGTTTTATATTATTAAAAAAAAAACGAAGCATCTTTACAATATTTTACGCGAGAATCTCCATTTTTAAGGTGCCTAAACGAAAATAATGTATTTTTGATAATAAAAAAAATTTATAGTGGAGAAAAACGGTATTTTTATTTTGAAATGTGTACATTATAAAACCGATTAGGGCTTTTATAATAATACGTTAGATGTCCCGAACTTTATAAGAACGGAAAAAATTCAAAAAATGTTCCAGTGTAATTCCCCCGGTGAGAATGTTATGAAAAGTTTACAATATTTAGATGAGGTTAGAAATTAGGGTGATGAGGGGAGGAGGGGTATGAGGTGCCACTATATAGAATAATTCTGTTCATATTTTCGGGAAGGTCTATATACGCGAAATCCCCACCACGATTATAATAATATTTTTATAGTTATGCGATACTAATACAGTTTTTTGAAATTCGAGATTATACTCATATAGAGTTATGTTTTTGTTTTCGTATAGGATTCGTTATGTTATTTCAAACGATCGGGAGGCAGTATCGGTTCTAAAAAGTTTATAAACGCATCGATACCCGTGGGCGAAACGGTCACTTATGCACGTTTTTTTCCCTCCGGCCGATTTACTAAAGTAAAAAAAAAAAAACTGCGCGTAAAACGTTTTATTGTGTTCACGTGTCGTTTTCGTTTTTACTTTGTGTGTTATCGTTGTGCACCGCAGAAAAACTTTGTGTTTAGCTGTTTGATATACAAAAAACAGCAAATAATAATTGGAAAATGTTATGTCGATTAAGATTAAAAAAAAATCTATTTTAAAAATTGATTTATAGTTAATATTTACAAGTCGATATTATTTTAACTTATCATAACGATTATCTTGATACAAGACAAGAGAAGATAAATTAATTTTCAGTATCTAAATACTAATGGAACAAGTATGGCATCACCCTATAAACAAGGTAATCGATAGTCAGTACTAATATTTAATGTATTTCAATAATAGATACTCAATAAATTTTAAATTTAAATATGAACTACATTTTTCTCGAATGCAGTATCTTGATAAATGTGGTTATTTATAAGAAACACGTTTGGAATTCTCCATCTTCGTACATTTACATTTAATTTTAAATGTAATTTTTGAAAAGCCAGAAGGAATTAGGCATCATCTTCGAAAACCTATGGTGAGATACTTTAAAATGGGAATCAAGTCTTAGATAATATACTCGATAATAAATACATATTGATATCAGTATCGCAATACAAGATACTCGATACTTTAAAATGATATACTTTAAAATAAGATACTTTAAATGAGATACTTTAAAATGGGAATCAAGTCTTAGATAATATACTCAATAATAAATACATATTGATATCAGTATCGCAATACAAGATACTCGATACTTCCCAGAACTGTACTGCGATACAGTATACAAATTGCATCTACAAGATACGTATTTACGAAATTTGTGTTGAAGTTAATGCCCACAAACCTTGGCCGTACCTCGTACGTAAATGTTTGATCTAAATTTGTAAAAATGGTATTAAATGATTAATTTTTTAATTTTTACGAAAGCTATTTGGGTTTTTTTTTTTAACAAAACGTGTTTATTTCATTCGCTATATAAAAAAATATGCCTAAACATAACAACATCGCTTGAAACTCCAAATATATTAGCCATTACGTAAAATAATAAATCGTTACTAAAACGCATCGTTACACGACATTAAATACTTTCGTCGTTACACAGAAGACCTAAACTGCAGCGTTAATGTTTAGCGAAAGACTGCGTGGAAAAAAATCATCTTACCCCCGGGAAAGTAAAACGGACTGGATTCGTCTTTAGTGCCTACTTGCTCGCAGTGAAATCCTTTTTATCCGGTCGAGAGGAAACGCGTTAGCGGTTAATAGCTACGACGACGGTTTAAAAGTAAGTACGTGTATCGAAAATTGTCCGCTCGTAAGTACGACACGTATCCATATGTATAATAGCCAAACTGCTATAAAACGTGTGCGAAACAGGAATTGTATTTCTTGAGCGTCATCAAAACTTTTCCACCCGTCTATACAAATATCGTGATCGTCTTCGGCAAAATAATAATATCCTACTATACATGTTAAAAACAATATTCCGCGTTTTTGCCAGGATTAAAATTAACGATATTATAACAAACAGGGGCGTCGTTTCACGTTTTTACACGGGATACAAAACCAATATCAACAATTTAAATCGCAAGTAATGCCGCTTGTCGCTTTGATCTCGTACCATATCACGAACGAAATCAATATACTTTTTGTAATAATAATACTCTTTTTATTAATTAAAATATATTGATATATATATATATATATGTAATGAAATTAAAAAAACGATGTCAGTATATCCGAGTATAGGTATTTATTTTAAATAGATATAATTCAATAGGCTATGAAGATACCCAGTAATACTATTAACATCAATAGAAGTAAATTGCACTCAGCAGCGTAGTTTTTTTTTTTAGAATAAAATAAAACATATCACTACTCCATACTTATTTTACCAATGTCATTATTCTATTATCTAAAACAGTGTTTATGTTTTCGGATATTAATAAAATTATAATTGACAAAAATATAAAATGGGCGATAACGTAATCGGTGCTAAATGTTAATCCGTAGATATACTACATAGATTCATATCATAGAACATCAGTTTAATGTCTATGTGATGATCGCTAAAATATTGTGATAAAACTACAAAAATACACATTTTTGTAAAAATAACAAAATTATCGTATTATATTAAAAATGTTATATAACATCAACATCTACATCTACCCACATATTTTAGTGTATTGAAAAAAAAATGCGACGGATGTATTTGCATAGCTTATTGAATCTCAGAAATGACGCCGTTTCAAAGGACTTAGTGACTTATTTGTTACGAGATTTTAAAACATTAGTATTAAACATGATCGTATTTTTTTTTACGGCGACACTGCGACACTTACAAATAGTAAGTTATATAGTGATAATATTATAGCAATTAACGATAAAATTTGATAATTTACCGAAACGCCTGCTGCCGTAGGTTTTACTAATTGGCTATTGTATAATACTGTTATCAATGAACGAGCCGACGGCGGTATAGGTATCGATATTTGAAATTCATAATAACGAAGCTGTATTGAGTACAAAAATATCAATTTATAAGTTATTCATTTTCGATCATCGTTTTTCTGTCTGTGACGCCGCGGGGAAAGGAACGGCGGAACCAGAGCAGCTATATAGAATCAAAGTATACGGGTGAAAAGCCTGATGAGGGGAGATCCGGAAAGCGTTGGTCGGACGGAATCCAAAAAGAATCCCGGAGAACACGTATTGGAGATGGTAGAGATAGACGGGAATAATTTGCGTTGACAGCATCGGAGCTGTGTTAAGCTTGAGAACAATAAGAGATTAATTTTCTAGAGAATTACTAAATTTGCATTTCGGTGTTTACAAAATGGAATAAAATTATTTTGAAATGCAATCTTTCACTTTGAAAATGTCTGCAGAGAATATTATATACGTCGTAATATTTTTTTAGAAACGACAGTTTTGTCATTATTTTAATAGAACGCCCGTGCAACTGTTGTATTATTATAATTGTAATATTTCCTTATTACTTTCCGTTTGGCACTAATTATGAATTCTCAACAGCTCTACTAGTTATATAGTTTTATTGCAGCGCCCCGTTTCATAAAAAGAAAGAAAAAATCAAAATTGTATCTGTTAATTCAAACACGTTTCGCATTCGTCTGTTCTTTTCTCGTCTCGTTTTTTCCTCCTCTCTGATACGTCTTAATTTTCAATAAGACTTCCTTCATATATTTTAAAACCGTCCGCTATTCTATTATTTCTAATTTGCCTTGTACTTCAAAATCCGAGTTTAAAATATGTATTGCTATTTTTTGAGGACAACAGTTTGATATTATTGGTTATCTTGCACAGTGAATTATGCTTAAAACTCTTCTACTTTTCTTAAGAGGATGGTAAAACCGTAAAACGAGAACATTTTCAGCGGCGTGATTTTTGTTAATTTCAAGTTTTATGATAATTTCAGCAAAAACATACCCAAATTAGTATTTATTCCAGACGTGGTACAATTTTTCAAAATATTCTTGCATTTTTCGACATTATTATATATTTGAAATTTTTTAGTTTTTAACTTTTATTTTTAGATTCGGAACGTACCGAGGGTTTTATTGGTTTTACTATAATGTGTGTGCTTTATTTTTTTTCCTGTCTGTAAACAACTTTTCGAAAAGAAAACTTGCACCGATTTATCAAGTGTAGCACTTTTTGTTAAAAGAAATTGAATTTAATTGGTGTATTGGACAGATTAATTTTTGATATTCCAAGAAATTTTGAAAATAATTGGAAATTATCTGGAAACGTAATTATAGGTAAACGGTAAATATTTACGGAGCGCTGCGGCGTTAGAATTCCTTTATTTTACGGCTTATGATTTCTACCGGAAGTATAGCTCCAACAGAAAAACGACATGATACCCTTTTCGTTGAATTTTTTATCTAGTCGGAGAATAAGAAATTCGTTTTTTTTTTTTTTTCTCTGTAACTTTTAAATAATTGAGAAAAACCGAAAAAAGAAGAACTGGACAATTTACGAAAATAATACTTTTATTATTTTTTCGTTGTAATCTAGTTAAAATTATACATAGAGACTAATTTTTACAGAAAACTTATACATGTCTTTTCTAAAAATTTGAGCCATTTTTTAGATATTTATATGTATTTTAATTTTGCAAGTTTTTTATTTGGTGGTACCTACTCTGTGAATACAATTGTTAGCGTATAATCATAAATCATAAATGCTTAAAAAATTAACAGGGGGTTCATTATAAGTCTTACTTCTCGGTCAAAAAAAAAGGAAAAAATTAGTGTAATAAAATAATTATTTTTTCAAAAGGGTTTTAATATAGAGTCTTGAAGAAAATCGTAAATATCCGAATCGTTTTACGTTAGAAATGATTTATTGCTACTTACATATATAAATTAAATAAATGTATGTATCGTACCTTCCCAACTTCCCGCGAACAACAGTGGCACACCCGTCCCCAGTATCAGCTCAGCTCTTTTTTTTTTATGTACATACAATATATAAGGCGATTTATGTGATTTATTCTTTCAACCAGAAATATTGTTCCGATATTTAAGTATACAATTTATTTGTCTATTTGGTGCATTGAAGAGGTAAAATCGAGCATAATGTAGTAATTTTTATAAAAGTATGTTAAGTTTAAAACCGTTCAAGAAAAACCGACAAACATTTACGGCGTCACGGATTCTTTATTTTAAATGTGCTTGATTCTTGTTTCCTACCGAAAATCTTGCTCCATAGGTCATAAAACTGACAATATTTGTCAATGTCATTGTTGCTTTGCAAGCAGCGAGGTGGCAAATAAGGGGATGGATCAAACAACTTCTAACAGCGACATACCCGTCAGCAGTGTTTGTTCGTTTTTTTTTTGTTGTGCGAGATATAATATTTCGGTCCTTCGGTTTTGGATGTCATTTCGCCTAATTATTAATCTCGTTAAATTTTTCGTCTCGAACAGAACACCTCAATCCGTGCATCGTATATAAGCATTTATGCGCTTCTGTGAACTACAGAATCCCACCGTATTGTTTATACACGTTTATACTATATATTAATTTCGGAACGTGGGTATACGAATCACACATTCACACGCGAGTATATTATATTATTATTATTATTATTATTATTAATATTAAAAGCGAAGCATTGTTCGGCGGATATACGGGGGTGCCCATACACAATCGAAATGAGAAATCACAAGCGTCGTCTATTGTCTATAGGTATGTTGTAGTTATAGGTAGTCGTTCGCAGTTATAAATTAAATTGCCGGCGTGCATACGCTGGCGCCCGTGGCGGCGGCGACGGTAAACTGAAATTATAGAAGTTTATGATGGGATTTATTTTAATTTTTTACACGGGTTTCGGGGGGAAAATTTCACGCACGTCCCTGCCTCCTACGCGTATAGTATTGCGTACACCACTTTTTTTTCTTTTTTTTTTTTTTTTTATGCGCGCCTCTGTACATTACGGATCAGTTGCGCCCTTTCGGGACTAACGAGGTATACCTGGGTATGTATAAATACACTCATATATATATATATATATATATATATTATCTGTCTATTACATACAGGTAATAATATAATGGCGTCACAAATAATGGAATAAAGCAATCGGATCGATTCCGGCGATGGGGTTCGCGCGGGACTGGACGCGACGACGTGTGCATGAAATCTCTATATAAAGAGGAGCTGGAAGGTGAAAGGGTATAAAGCTCGGGATGAGTCGAAGAGTTTCGTCTATATTGTTTGTTGTACTTACCTTTAACTATTGATATATACGGATCGATTAGACTGGTCACGTTTTTAATTCGACTTTGCGATTTGACAGTTCATATATATATATATATATATGTAATAGAGCCTCGGCCGATAATGATGTACAGCTATACTCGGAAAATCGATTCTTTTATACACGAACAAAAAAATAATTAAAACTCGCGCGCGATATTGCCCATTTGAGCCGCGGCGAAAGTCCGCCGAAACACCCGAAACGGGAAAACGCATCGTCTCGGGTTTCACGGAGAACTTATACACCTGTATAGGTATTTCATTTTGATCTAAACTTAAATTTCCACAGCGGCAGGAAATAATGGACCGGTACGTGTGTTGCATACGCACCACCAGTATATTATTTCAACTGGCTGGCCGAACGTTATTATAGGAAATAATATTATTACTGAGCCACGAGGATATTGTCGGTATTGTTTTTCTAAAAAATATTATCAAGAGGACGCGTGCATTTGTTGTTTTACAACGCAGCAGATTCGCGCTAGGCCGTTGATTTCGAGCTATTAGTCTCAATACTAAATATAATGAATGTGCTAGGTATCAAACTTAATAAAGAATGACCGTTTATAATTGCGTTTATACGTTGGTTGGATTTTTGTATCGTTGTTTTAATTTTTAAATGGGACGATATTGTATGAGTGTGTGAATATTTCATAACTTAAAAATGTTTATATCTCGTTAAAAAATTTAAACATCGGGAAAAATCGACATACTGATCATAGATAATGTTTAACCTTCGAGTTTGGTAATATGTCAAATCACTCCAACATTACCATATTAAATGCAGGAAATTGATTCTACTGAATGTAAATTTGTCATGTCATTCGTTTTGTAAGACAGAAACAACAAAATATATATTCTGTAACGTTCTCCTTGTATATAATAATAAGAATAGTATACGGTTTTTGAATAAGTCTTTTTTTTATTTGCTATAAATAGATTTGCGATAGAAAAAAAAATATATCCGTTCCTGCATCGATACGCTAATATTATTTACAGAAGAACTTAAAGAAATTATTTATTATTTATGTAGGCCACCGTCGTCAATGTGAATTATAAAATACAGTAAATACATACAAATGTTTTTGTATTTGTCAAAACTAATGTTTCCGGGACTCCATATAACGATACTTTCAGAAAAATATTTTATAGTATGGAATAAAAAAACAAAATCAATAGTTACAGAGTACCATTCAATAGTTATTGAAAATATAAAATGTGTAAAAATAAAATTTCTTAAAACGTTTCTGTCATATTTTAATTGGCAAAAATGGAAAAGTTTTAAAATACATTGCACTTCGGTGAAAATTCAAAAATAACGAGCTCGACAAATAAAAATCGATAAAATACTATGAAAATAACGAAAGGGAAATCGTTCATTTAAGGCGCATATAATATTAGTTCAAATTTTGGATATTATTATTTTTAACGGTTGACATTTCCGTTGAAACCGAACAAAAATAATACGTTTTACAAATTATTTTTCTTCAAAAACCGTTTTTTTTTTTTTTTACTTTTATACTCGGACGCGTGTGTCTTACGTAAAATAACAAAAGTATTAAAATTATATTTTCCACCTACCTTATTTTTGGAAGAATATTATCGCTACTATAACAGATGTTGACATTGTGCAATGAAATTGATAACAATAATTTTCTTATCAAAATAATAAAAGTAAAAAGTCGGAGGATTATGCACCTACCCCCCCCCCCCCCTCTCACTCAAAATTGTTTGAGTACGAGTTTAAGAATGCAAAATTTTACATTTGGGGAAGGGGTTCTTTTATTTATTCCATTTAAAATAATAATATTACTTTATTACATCTTTAGTTCCATGGTCGAAGGGTTTAAATTTATTTACGTAATTCTGACTCATGTAATTTTAGATCAGGAGCGTAGCGAGGAATATATTGAGTTTACAATGATGCTTATTTTAGATTCTGAGTATAGCAACGAATGTATTGGTTTTACAAAGATGTTTGTATTTTTTTATAATCTGTACAAAAATTCTACCAGAAATTTTGCTCAAAGATATCAAGAAAAGCACCTTTCCTGAAATAGAATTTTCCTGGAATGGTACTTTAGGGATAATGGTCATTTTTTAATTTTTCCGGGAGTTTTCTCAATAAATGGGAAAAACATGGTAAAAATCGGGAAAAAAACGAAAAAATAGATTCAAGATTAAATAAATATTATTAAAGATAATGAAAAATATCATAAAATGCATAAATATAATTTTTTGGCATAATGTGACATATATTGTTGACAAAGCAACACTATTAACCAAACTCCGTTCAGAATCTTTTTTCGTTAGCGATGATTAGCCGTTACGTACAGATCTAAATTGAATTTCCCCTATACCTTCCCAACTTATCATTAACAACAACGGCCCACCCACCTATGAGGTATGTGTTTTCTTTTTTATTTGTCGGTTTTATTATTATTCATTTGTTCATAGATTCCCGTTATAATATGTACGTGTATATACACGTATCAATGATCAGAAATTAGAAATTATCAATAGTAGACCAGGAGAGTCCGAACGCTCTTTCTCTCCCGTTCACTGCCTAATTATGTTCCTAATATGATCTGTATTAATTCTTAAATCGTTAAAAAAAAAAAAATAATAAAAAAAAAAATCGTCTCATCAAATATTGTTTCAATTATAATTAGTTAAACAATAAAGATAATTTTATTTGGTGGTGTCCAAACAAGTCGCCCAACAACGAAATAATCGATGTTTTAAAAGTTTACGTCAATCGCGCGAGTGTTTTGGTTTCAATAATATATTAGAGTTTGTACAGATTTTACTGTCATGAGATAAGTACACATTTCAGAGGTTATTTATTTTTTTCCAATTCAACGGTTATTGATTTTCGTACATTTTTGAGAGGATTGAGAACATCGAGTATATACGTATAATATAATATATATTATTGTATATTGACCGAGTATCTATATATAATCTATATTGTACTAGACTGTTCAAAAACGTTTTTAGTATTCTATATCTAACAACTTTCTTGGGAAGTGTTTTAGAAAAAATAAAATCGTTTACGCGATACGAAAAAAAAGCAATTGAGTGGGGAGGGGAATCGCTTTCAAAAATCCCGACTGATTTATTTACAGAATATTGTAAGCATATCAAATATTGGAAAATATATGCACCGATTTTCTAAAACTACACCAAGACGACTGTAATGATACCACTATCAGATTACTATAAATATACAAATACCTACAAATAAATTAATTTTATAGTTTCATTAAATGAGTGTACAAGTGTACCGAAGTTATTCTAAACTCGCCAATGTGGCGTGAAACTTTGTCGATATTTTACGTTAGGCGTGCGTTCGAAAATTGTACTTTTAATAAGTATATTATACGTTCATATAGTGTAAGTTGTAAAACCCGTAACTCGATGGTAATCAAGTAATTATAAAGACTCTCTGGTGTGTCGTTGAGAATTCTACGACGCTCATAAATGGCGTATTGACACACACGATGAAATACAAAAAAAAAATACTAAAGGTTTTTAGAATCTAAGTGAACGAAGAAGGGAAGTTTTACAAAGACTCATAGTGTTATGTTCGCAAAAAAAACACTTTTTTTTAGGGAAATATATTATAAATGCTCCATAATCTAAAAGATGCAGATTTTCTGACCGAAGTGGCGATGGCACTTTACATTGAAATCAAGTGTCTAGACGTCAAACAATTATTCTCGAAAATGAAATTTAACCAAATAAACTGATAACAAATATGGTGGTACATCGGTTTAGTTTTGTCGATTTCTGGGTTTCCTTGGCAACAAAGGACAATACCAATACTGAAATCCTTTTTTAATTGCGATGGGTTAATCCTTACTTTCAGTGCATAAACTGAATAACTCGCTCTATTTCCTATACCTGCCAAAATTCCAACGTATAAAACAGTGGCCTACGCCCGGCACGACACAATTTTATGTACCGCTTTTATTTCTTGAAGTTTTTTGACGCTATTAACATTTTCTCGGACACGAACATATGCGGTATATTTTATTTTCGATTTTTTCCCCTTTTTCGTTTCGAACTTTTAACTTTTGCAGGTTTTATTATATCGGCGCCGCGCCACCGAGTTATCTATTTTTACTATCTATCTTTTATATACCGCTAAATTTCCGTGGAAAACTAAATAAATCAAAATACATTTTATCTTGTACATATAATATCGCCTTCTTCAACAGCTCAATGACTTGTTTAGAACCTACACCTCGTAAATATTGTATAGCGTAAGCCTTTCCATTATTTTCTATATTAAATGCCAACTCGGGCGTTACATTTTTGCTCATGAACCGATACACAGCTAGTGTCCGTAATACATTTTTCTATAGCGTCTTTTCATTTTATCCATTGAGAATATCCAGTTTTCCCGATTCGTTTCTCCGCGATGACTTCGTCGTATTCTTATCTGATTATAGCGCACGCGGCACAGTCGAAAATCCGTTGCAAATTCAGTATGAGGTTATTATTTTCCACTCAAAGCACAGGCGAGTTTCGGTGCTGCTTTTGGTTTTTGTATTTTTACCTTGTTACGGTACCGTACACATTCTGGGATGGAGGCCGTGACAATATTCATAAATATGAATATTCAGATTTCGGTTCTCTTAATTTTCCGTACATACCCCCGAATCGCTTCGATAATTTATTTTTCATAAAACACTAGAGAATATATATATAAACCTAGTAAAAATAATTTTAACTTCAAAATGTTGATACCATTAATAAGTGAGCCACTGTTGCAGGTGGGCGGCTGCAGAACATGTAAGATATGCGATAAATGATTGCATACTAAAAATGATTCTGAGTGGATTATATTAGCCATTTTAATTTCCCTTATCATTAAAGGTACTCAGAAATCAATAAAAATCAAAAAGCCAAAATTTAAGATGTTAGGATTGAACTGAACATTTCGAAACGCCATAACATGTTCCAAATAAATTAACACCGGACATTAAAATTCCGCATAATTTGATATATTTCATTAAAAAATGGAATATTTTTCTAACCATAATGGTTAGTGTTCAAAAAAAATAAGACGGACTTATTTCGCACGTGGGTGCAGCCACTGTTGTAGGGGGGGAGTTGGGAAGTTGCAGACAGGAATTTAATGTATATCTATAAGTAACGACAAACCATTGCTAATGAAAAAACGATTCTGAGCGAAGTTCAGTTGATAGTGTTGCTTTGTCAACAATATTTATGATACATTATAGTAATATAATTATATATGCATTAAACATTTTCTTCAATAATATTTATTTAATACTGTACTTATTTTCTTGTTCTTCTGTTTTTCCTCCATATTTTCCCGATTTTTCAAATATATTCAGAAGACTGCTAAAAAAACTAAAATAACTTCCTGAAGTACCTCCCCAGTCAAAGTTCCTTTCAGAAAAGTGCTATTTGTAGCTAATGTCTTAAAAACCTAATGTCTTCAATGTCCGTTCCCCAATGATAACTAATACGTTATAGTGATGCTCCCCATTTCCCGTGAAATCAACATTTGTAGGAATGCGGGCAAAAACGATCATCAGTGATATTAGACTAGTATATACAGAGTAATTCAAAATGTATATTACCGCCATTTTATCACGTAAATATTCAAAATAGAGAAAAATGAGTAACACAAAATTTTTTTTTTTTTATAAATATATAAAATAATATTATGTAAATATTTTTTTTTTACAATCTTTAGGGGAAATTTTGGGGTTAATTTTGAAATTAATATGGAAATCTGTTATCAAAAGTCCATTAATAGTTTATTAGTTTAAATAAATGTTGGTGTTCAAATTGTTTAAACTAACATGTTTTTGTATACGTTTTTCTTTATTGTGAATATTTACATCACAAAATGGCTGTAACACACATTTTGAATCACCCAGTAGATCATTGTTAACTTGTTTTCCTTTTTTTTATTTTGCTTGAACATTGACCGAACAAGTTTTTTTGTTGTAATAGGTATTTCTAAAATCCTATTGTAGCACGGACCGTGATCATTTTTCTCTAACTCAATTACGCATCATTTCGTTCAAGAACAAACTCCGGAACGGTGTAACTGTCTTTACTTTTACGATTATTTACATTTTCTATGATCGTTTTTTCCCAAAACCCTTCATTGATTTCCCGTGATCATGAAATTGTAGTGTACCGATTTCGGAATCTTGATGGAAATATCGAGAAGAAATTTGAATAATCGGACATCTGTGATCTTTCATCTTTTTATAATATGAAATTAATCCAAATTAAAAATTTCACTTGGCCAATATTTATTTTATTTAAGATTGTTTAACAAAAATAATTACTTGCCTAGAGGCGATGAAACAGCAAACGCGACCAATAAAAATAAAAAAAAAATACCAAAACCCTAAAAATGTTAGATTATGTTAAAACGCCGGACGAAATGTCGACCATTCGTCGTTGTAATAAATTACAAAGTCACCGTCGCCGAATCGTGTTAGAAAGCAATTATTACTGTTTAACAACGAACAGTACGAACGGTGCTACCCAAATCAAATATTAGATCTCAAAAGAGAGATTCGCGAACGATGACGATCGATGTTTACTACTATTCGCTGTGCAGGTATAATATTTATTTCCCGGTCGTCGTCGTAAAACTACCACGGGGTAAATCAATATACTTACGGGATTTAATTACATATTTTGAATTTGTATACTGTCGCAGGGCGTAAGTTCTACAGTTTTCCGTTGCCGGAATAAACGGGAGAGTCGAAATTACGTAGGTATACCGGAATGAAACGTCGGCCGCACTGACCCGGTCGACTCGAGTCGTATGCCCACCACCCTTACCGACTATACAATTATTTTAGAAACGAGCACCTGCATAGTTAAATAAATTCCTCACGAATGTGCGCACATATGTTATTATATGTATATAAACAAACGCATACTTTACAAAACCTTGGAATTTTACACGGTAATTATTATTGTAGGCAATATATTCGTGTAATGAAAAAAACAAAAAAGGCCTCTCACAGTTTCGGATCGGTTAAATTCCCCCCCCCTTCCGGTCGTTCGTAACAGTATGCTGAAACACATTAGGGGAGCAGTGGAAAAGGTAAGGTATAGAAGAAAATTGAATGTATGTCTGTATGATGAGATTAATCATCGCTAACGAAAAACGATTTTGATTGAAGTTCGGGTTTAAGTTCGGGAAGTTCGGTATTTAAAATTGTTATCAAAATTCGATATAAAAATTCTTTAGAAAAAACAAAAAAATTGGAAATAATAAAAGTATTATTTTCGTAAATTTTTCCGTTTTCCCCGGTTTTTCTCAATTATTATGAAAATCAACTAATTACATCCTTAAAGTACCGACTAGATGACATTTCCGTTCAGCGTAGAAATTTCGTAAGTAGTAAGTAATAATCAGTATATAAAAATGTACGCTCTTAATTAGTATGGACTGTACCCTTGCCCTCCTTGCCACGACTCCGCGTGACCACTATTGAATATATCATATTATATTGTTGTTATGTTAATAAAATTGTTCCGATTGTAAAATTGCAAGTATAACATTATGTAAAACCGAGTATCTAGTACAATAAATTTATGATAATACAAATCGGTTAATATCTCTAATTTTAGTTGCGATTATTCGAAAATAGTGGTATTTTTCATGCGGTCTGAAACAAATTAAATAGACATGAGTTTAGTATACTACGGTGAATTTCGCTCTACCATTTAATTGTTATACTAATAAAGTATTCTTTCAGATAAACATTCGGTTAATTACACTACAAAACCGTATAAAATTTACATTTTAAATAATAATACTATACATACAATAAGACTTAAGAATATACTCGGCTTATTTGCATACATAGTTTATTTATTTAAAATAGTTGATAAAATAAAAACGTTCGATTTCAAAGTCGAAATGTATTTTCGGCACCTTTTGTTCGATATAAGAAAACGAAATCTTTTAAATCTTTAAAGATTTCTATAATATCGGTTTAATTCGAATTCTGTTACTGCAATCGAATAAAAAATAATAATAATCGAATACTTAAACTGATTATTCGAATCTGCAGGTGACGTTTTATGGATTTCTATTAAAAATACAAGAACATAAAACGCCGTGTTATATTTTTTTTTTTTTTTGATTTTATAGTAAAAATTACAATTATTTAAAACCACGTATCCATTATGTAGCTATTAGGTAGCTGTGCCTATATGGATGTATGGCTTTGTACCGTGTCCGCCTGGTTATGGCCCCGAGATCTATAAAATACCGTCACTCAACTATACTGACTGTCTTTTGTGCATGTGTATTTGATTGTCAACATCACTGTTATTTATCAATATAATATATAATCGGCACCTACATTACACGAGAATTACATAAGAACCATCTCTCACGAACTTTAACAATTTCCTGTAGATTTCTTTCTGTTCTTGCGCTCTCAGAGATTTAAGATCCTCTTCTACTACGTCTGGCCACCTCTTTCTCGTATATGTGTGCACATATACGCAAAAAGTACTGAAAACTGAAATGTGTGTATTTAAAATTTTTAACAACCATTCGCTCTCGCGTTTGAGAATATTATACTATATTATGTTGAAAATTGATTGATTATATTATAATGAATATAGTTTGTAATTTGATTAATTGTTTTGTCGTCTTTTTTTTTTTCATTTGATTTCGTGTCCCATTGGAGAAAATGTTCTAGAGTCATTCGGTGTGTGCCAGGGTCGACACTGATTTTTTAAGAAAATTTACAAAACGCGTAAAACCGTAAATCGATTAATCAATAATATTCTACAGGTAGTTTATCGGGGTTGATTTAGAGTAGGTATTTTATATTTTACTAAAGAAAAAAAAAAACCACAAGTTTTAGCGGGAAAAACAATTATATTAAAATAATGTAGGCACGTCATGTGTATTACAATGTCCGGTGGGTGTAGAAGGAGGGACCCTTCTGGATTTTGGATTTTCTAATATCATCAACATTTATTATGTGAATTTTTTGTATGAAATATTTCAGAATTTATTTAGATTTTCTAAGCCCGTTATAACCGAATCACTGATTTAATGAGTTGGTTTAAATCAAATTAAATTATATCCTCGAATCATGAAAATAGAATCAAATTATGAATTTCGAAGTGCTGTTCGCCTAAAAGCTGACAACACCGTTTAAGATTACGGTATATACGTGAAGCGATGTCAAAACTGGGGAATATTTGAGAATTTTTAAAAAAGGAAGTATTTCTCATTATATAATAATGTCAATTATATTTGATAGCGAATTTGTATCATATGCTATGTAAAATATTTGTTATGCTAATAATTGTTTTATACCGTAATCAAATTGTTATAATCAAATACAATTTTACCATTTAAATGCATTTGGCTGTTCTCGTGGGCTCCAATACGAGTATAATGCGTCTAAAACTTAAAACAAATTCTATGTTCTAAATATCAGTAGTTATAATTAATGTTAAGTAGTATTTTAACCATGTGTCTATAGTTATATATTTCTTGTAGTATTGAGTTATAAGAATTATTGTAATGATCGATATAATGGATAACCATGGGCCTCCACACGAGTTCCTTTAAATGAGACCAAGTAACCGTTTGGTATTGAAAATAAACGAAAATAAAAAAAATCAATTATTCAGAATTCAAAATTGTTTAGTGTGTTGTTATAAAAACGTATAAAAATATACTTACAATATAAATAATTGCGTATGACAATAAGAAAATGCGATTTCAGGAACAAAATTAATACAAGATAAAGGCATGGGCGTCGGAGAGTTCAAACGTTACATGAATTTGACTTGGAACTACATTCATTACTTGTTTTTTTTTTTCATACAGCATAACGTTGATGTTTGAAAGCCCCGGTGAAACAGACGTAGGGAGTCCAAACACGGTCCGAAAGATGTCGAACAAATAGAAACAAATGACGTATTACAAAAGCCTAAAGGCCGAAAAGTGATGTTGGCGTTCAGTGTAATAGTACGTCCGTTGGCACATCGGTAATATTATTACGACAATATAAATTTCCGGATTTTACGTGTAAACGCGACTCGAACTTGAAAAATAATACAGACATATTATGTAATTACCATAACGCAGTGTGACCAACGACTTGATATCGAAATGTCGAGTCTCGTCGTAATTCCTCGAGGAGGCGGCGGCGGCGGCAGAAGTGGGTTAATGTTTGTAAATGTCTTACTTTTTCCTTTTTTTTTTTTTTATTATATTTCACTTTCCCCCCCCCCCCCCCTCTTCCATATTCAGAGTATTATACTATAACAAGACGCGCTCTAAAAGATCCTCTGACGACGCTCTTATCCGTTTTCATTATTTTTGTGCACCGCCGACGGTGCAGCGTATAGTGGATATTAATAATGGCGAATTGTAACTCATGATTCTTCTCTCGGTTAAGACGGTAATCATACCGGTTAAATAGGGTTTGGTATGATAAAAAAAACGAACCTTTTTTTTTTTCTTTCTTGTTATTATTATTATTTTTCTTTTTCGGGGTGCATAAATCCTTATTTGAACTCGGATGTTGTAAAAATAATATAATAAAGCGTAATACCATTATTATTATTATTGTTATTATATTATTATTATTATTATTATTATTAATAATATTATCATTATTATCATTATTATAGACATCGCGCGATTCGGATAAATTGTAGTAACTTTGTTAAACGTTTCGAATTTTTGTGTAAGTTTCAATTTAAATTTAAAACAAACATTACGATATTGTTATAAATTGTTATGGTATTTAATTTTTCCAGGAAAACTGAATTTTATGCCAAGAATAATTCGATTCAATATACTGTAATACGTTAAATATTGAATATTTGTAAAATAAACAAGCAAAGTGACGTAGTAGGTAAAATTATCAGCTCCATCACCAAAAATATCAGTGTTGCAACATAAGTACGCCATAAATTATTTCACAATTAATTACGCGCGTTGTCCACACACTGGCGCCCCGTGCGCCATGCGCCCCGCTGCGGCGATAGTATGGAAGCCGCCAGTTAGGGGACCACGGAAGGCACGGAGACTCGAGACGCATAAATCTTTTCCATCGAATCTTCACTTCTCTTGGTTCGCCCAGCGGAAGCACTCTTTTTTTTTTTTTTGGCTCATCGGAAATCCTTGCTATCCAACATCTTTCCAAACTTATACGGCAGTCGCAGATACCACAGGCGGGCCGCTGTATTTGGTCAATCCGCATCTCCTCGAACCTGGTAGTTGTACTTATTGTCACCTTGTTTTCTGTCATACATTTAAACGTGTCTATTATTTTTTCTCCCATAGCGTGTCATAAACATATACACAATATATTGCGCTTGGATTTCTTGCGCATAGGCCGAACATACGAGGTCGGTGGTCGTCACTCGAGATAAACGACTGTCTGTACATTTTGTCATGTAGTAAGAACTTTTAAGCATAATGGCTACACAACAATACGTCGGCCAGCGATTCGTTACGCTGAACGGATGATTCTCCCGCAAGTCGTCACTTATTAGCGACCCGACGTCTGAGTGTAGCCATATAAATATCTACTGACACAGTAGACCTGGTGACAATACAATTAGAAAACTTACTTGTGTTTATTGTAACAATTCATCGAAACCTACGCATCCTAGTACCCGTTTCTTGCATTTTGAGCCACGACTTTTCGCGAACTTCAAGCAGTGTACCGGAGTAAGCGATTATTTCCATACTTCCGTAGTAGAACATTGAGTAAAAAAACTAGGTAGTGGCAAATAAATGAATGGAGAAAAAAACCTCGTACGGTAGGTAGCTGCCGGTCAATATTGAATATAACACGTTTTTATGTTAGCATATATATATACATGTGAATGTCACGATCTCGTAATAAACACACACACACACAGAACGATACACACATATTCATCGACGGAAAAACCGCCGTGCATCCGTATTATACGTACTACGCAGTAATAATATCATTTTCACACCTATATATTTATAGGTATCTATTATATTTGACTATTTGTTTCTCATCCTCCACACCATATTATTCTACCCTTTCCCCCTTACTTCATTTTTTTTGACTTTTGATTTTTTTTTTTTTTTCTATTACAGTGCAATATTATCTATTTCGGATTTCATCATAATTACGTGTTTATTTTTTCTCAAAAGTAATAAAATAATATCGAATACCGGAAAATTGTTTACGTTTTTCGCTTTTATACCGTTACAATAATATTCTGGTACGATATCGGTTAGAAATAAATAATAACGCATACCTACATTATGTATAACAGTATTACATCTTATCTTGGTACATTATAAATTATTTATTTGGTTCGTGTACTCGGCTTTATTTGCCGGCAAGCAAATTGATCCGGAAGTTTTATTCTGTACGTTAACTTATTTTTGTTTCGTATAATACTATATACGTACAATTTTTTACGGTCAGCTGGCATTCGATGCTATTTTGAATTTATCAAAAAAATAAAACATGTCGTGGCGGGGGGTATGGGAGAGAAAAAGGCCACATTTTAGAATCGAACCAAAAACGTTTGAAGCCATAAATGTAATATCTTATAAATATAGATTTGGCTATACTCGTAATAATAAACAATTTTGGTTTCATTCGGCCACGAAAACACCGACATACATAAAATATTATATTCTTCTTTTCGTCCGTATACGTATAATATTATTAACAAGTAAATCATGCATTTGCAATATCGTTTAATATAAAACATTTTTCCTTATAAAATACAAATTTCGTCTTAGAAAAGATAAATTATACATTTAAAATGTTGGGAAATTATGATACTCAAAGTTTATGGCGACAAACTCCGTGCAGACGAAGTAATATTGTTTTATTACCGTTCGTCGTCTCAAGTATATAAGATAATATCAGAACAGTGACAAAAAAAAAAGAAATTGAAGTCCGGTTCAACACATGATTTGAAATGTTTGAAAAAGTTTTCGTCGAAATTTGAACTTACTTATTTGAACTTTAAAAAAAACTTTTACATTAAGCTTAGATTTTTTTTTCGTACCTACCACTAAACACAATTTAACATAAACCTCGTGTTAAATTTTCGAGTCTTTCTGTTCGGCTAAAACTATTTGATCTACCTAATCGAAAATTTTAAATGAATCTAAATAGCTTAGAAATTTCTAGAATATTGTCAATACTGTATCTTGTTTGAAAATGACTCATGCGAGTATTTTGTACCAATTTTAGATCTCCGAAATTATTTTGAACCGAATTATACGCACGTACAAAAAAAAAAAAAAAAACAATATCGAATATAACAGAAACCGATATTCCGGAGTTTTTTCGGCGGTTTTCGAGCGGCGTAGTATAATTTTAATGAAATATACGAGACGCTATATTCTCCTCTTTGGGCGTAATAATACTGAAATTTTATATATATATACAGTAATTATATGTACAAAAAAAAAAAAACGAGACGCGAGAAAAAAACCATAACGGTCTTAATAAAAAACCGTTCCATTGTCTGAAATCCCTCGCAATCGGTCGGTTTTATAGTTATACTACCTATATAATAATGATAATATTCTTAACCGCCGTTTTACGTCCCCGGGGTTTATATCAGATCGTAAAACCTCTTTAGCGCAATAATTATCACCTTATCCGACGATGCCGGGGATTTCGAACGCGTATACCGACACCGTAATAATAATTGTGCTCGGTTAACTATAGCCGGAAATAATATTACCAATGGAAATATTACACACTTATAATACGGTGATTATTAGGTTTGCGAGATCGTATTCATTGTATCGTTACTGCCGATTAATCGGGCGTTTCAATAGTATCAACCCTCGAATGTATTGATAAAACGGTTGTCTATATTATCATTTTACAGGTACGTTGTGTCATTAGTTTATTATCGAATAATATTATTCACACTATTCTACACAGTTTCTTACTATTACTTTGTTTGGACTATCTTGGTCCCCTCGTCGGGGACGCCTGTGTATTTAAATCGTTCGAAACTATTTATTTTTATTTGTCAAGGCATGCCATACGCAGTATTTAGTTATGTATTCGTAAAAGCAGATTTCAAACAGCTTAAATCCATTTCCGAGTACCACTGCGTAGTCGTTCTCGCAAAGGGTAATAAAACTACCAAGACCGAGAAGTAATCACTTTTGGATTGCGAAACGCTAGTTCTACGCTCGGGTTCACCACTTTATTTTCGCGGGCCCTCGCCTTCGGTTCGGGTGTATATGTCTGGACGTAGATACCTATATAGAGTTAGACTTGACTGGACTTGACTAGACTTATTATACGGATTTAGTTTAGTTTCTCACGAACGACCGAACGATCGTTGGAATCGTTCTCTTGTATGTTCAATCCACTGGCTTGTGAGACAGTCTTGGTAATAAACCAATATTTCTATCTTTATTGATTTTTGATTTATTTCTTAAAACCTTTACTTTTCTAGCATCACTGAAGAGTCGTCGACAGACGGTGCCTTCCGTCAAACAACAGTACTGTACCGTATCACTCGGTCCGGTCCACTAAAATAGTGTAAATTAGTATTGATCCACCGATAAAGGTTAATAAATATATGGATAGTTTTGATACTCAATACTCGTACTATAATTACTATAGATTAATAGATTGATCGAGGTCATAACATAACCGAGATGATTTTAGGATTTTTCAGAGGTTTTAGGAGTTTTATAAAATATAATCTATACCTATTACATCTGATAACGTACCGAGGAAAATAGTGTTCTAAGTGTAAATCTAAAAACTAGTTTCCTAGTTTATGAAAAACCAGGAGGTTGCATAATCAAATGTATAAGTTGGATCGAACTTGGATAGGATCTGTAAATACGCGACGAGTTAACTAATAATTATAGTTGCAGATAAAAACTTAATGTAGACGACGTGTTTTTATTATACTCTACGATTATTATTATGTTTTGTCAATGGGTAGCTTCCCTCATCACGAAAAAACTAAATTGTTATACTATGTACAAATGTTATTCTTATCAAAATTGCTTATGGTTTTATTGTAAATACAAATTGTGAGTTATAAAATATGAAATTAAAAAATGAGATTTTACATTTTTTTTTTTGATAAATATTTATTCATTAGTTCGTTTTCGTATAAAGTTTTATAGTCAAAATATTTTATTGCGTGTTTTTTTAATAAAATGAGCTTGATGACACTGTGCAATGCTACTTTAGTTATTGGTGCCGAATACCCGTATCGAAAATTCAAATACAGCAAACTCTGATTTAAACTCTCCGTGATTTCCGACGGTTAAAGAAGTCCCCAAACTAGTAAGAAACTTGACGCATTTACGCCGTTTAGTAAATGTGTCAACATTTACGTCGTTTAGTCGAAACAGTCACGAAACAAATTACAAAAAAAAAAAAGTAAGTAGTTATACGGGTGATATTATATTCAATTTAAACATTTAATTAAAAATAAAGTACTTAATTAGATTACGCGGGATTGTCTCGAAAAACTATTAAAACTTAATGAAAATATTTTAATCGAGTAATGGAAACAATATTTAAGACGGTTTGTATATAATGTATGTCAACTGCTAATTTTTGAATAAATTAAATAAACGAATAAACAATTTACATATTGAACAATATTTATACTGCCCCTTATTATATACCTTGCCATGTCAGTGCCAACTTTGTTTTAATTATTATCTTTTTTCATTTAATATCTCTAAAATCATATAACTTTTTTTTAACAGAAATTCAATTTTACGTCGAATAGCTATTAGATAATAATAGCTATAGATGCCGCGGTCAATTTTTTTTTCTGTAATAAAAAAAAAAAAAAAAATGTATAGGTTAGGTATTCAGTGTATATTCAATAATATTTTATTACATTATATTCATTTTGTCAAAAGTATTTTCGGAAAATGTTAATTACAAGTTTACAAATAACGTCCCTTAGAATTATACGAACTATTCGTGTGTGGTTTAATAATCCACCTATTTTGCGTATCAAATTTTCGGACACAATTTTATAATATTTGATTCATTTATAAAAGCTTTGTGTTCGCACCCGACTAAAATGTATTCTTCACGCCTAATTCCTATCTGGCTTTTTCGGAATTATTTTGAGCCACTCTACTTCCTCTAGATTGTGTATGGGTTGTCGTAATCGAAATATGTCGAAAAATAATAACATTGTCAGAAAAATACGTTATTTCCGAATTGCCGTATATTTATAAACGCGCCGCTAATTATAGCAAAATCTGTTTCCATTTCACGTATTTTGTGCGTGTACTGGTCCGGATCGAACGTTTCAGGAATGAAAATCGGACCAATCCGGATCGAACTGATGTACATTCCATTAAAAAAGAGGGTAAAAAGACCATATGCAGAGCACTACTTCATAGTTAATTCATCAATTTAAAAAAAAAAAAAAAAAAGAAAGAATTATATGAACACAAGAATATAATATTCCTCCCGTAAAATTTTCCCATGGCATGTCTGCACACGAGTGCAGTACTCAAACTATAATGAAAATATTATTTAGCGCATCATTTTCACCGAGCTCTCGTCAGAAGTTTTTCTCGAAAATTCCACGCCGCGAATTAGTTATTATAGATAATTGATAGTTTCGCATAGTATTTTCAAATAAAAACCTTAACGGTTATCGGAAAAGAAAAAAATGTTTTAATTTTGACCTCTTTTTGCGGTATACGTGAAGTATACTTTCCGAACACTAGCTGCAAATTTTATTCGCTCGAAAATATTCTTCTTCTAACAGACTAACAGACTAATATAATATAATAGAAGAGTAGTTTCCACTCTCGGATAACATATTGTACTACTTAACGAAATCGTTTTTTATTCTGTTAAGAAATAATAGTAATCCGTTTTAGGGACGTTGATGTGCATGACCCTTCGTGGGGCTTCAATGCCTCCTAAAAATAAGATTAAAAAACAAACAAATTATCGAAGACTTAGTTTTTTATCCTCTTCTATAATTCTTGGCAACCAAAATACAGTAATAGAATATACCTATCTCCGACCGATCGATACTGGTACTGTATTTCGCTAGGCGGAGTAGGTAGGTACTTTTGATTGTTTTTCTTGTATTCATCGTATGTTTAAACACCGATCGCTTCTTCTAAATATAAAATCATTTGTCAAATCTCACACATTTCTGGAAATTGAATTCTGAGTGTATTTTTTTTTAACCTTCATACCGTAATATATTGAATATTTAATACTTGTAAAATAAACAATCTAGATTACACAGTACAGTTACCAGTTCCATCACAAACATCTTTTAAACAGTGTTGTCATCTTAATTCGGCACATATTAATTCAAAATATCAATTACGCGCGTCGCTCACATAAAAGCGCCTACCGTGGCGAAGTGGGAATCGTGTGTGTGGGAAACCGCGGAGGGCAAAAATACGTCATACGCGTCACCAAAAAGCCATTCTGACAGTCCGATCGTCTTCGAGTCAGTTGTCACTTCTCTGGGTTCGCCCAGCAGGAGCAGACATGTTTTGCTCACTCACTGTTACCATACCGTTTTTCCCAAACTTATACAGTAGTTGCAGGTACCTGCTATATTTGGTTCTCCCTATCCTACATACCTGGTAATTGTGCTTTTTGTCACTATTGTTTTAACGTAGATTGTGTTTATTTCTAAAAAAATAACATATATAATATTCCGGTACGTAGACGGCTATACACATCCTGAAAAACGGTTGACTATACGCCTGAAAATGGACATGATGACATGTGCACTTTTCACTTAAAAGAGTCTAACACCATTGAACAGACGGCTATACGCCTCGCGTTAATCGGTTGTAAATGTAGAACGGACGTGGTCGTAATGTCAACGTCTAACTCATTCACCTCCGCGGGACGGTTGTTTATACGTTTAGAAAAGGCGGTGGAGAAAATACAATTTTCGCTAATACTTGCATTGTCTATACACCTGGCTGCCGCGTTGTGAGCTGAAGGCAAAAAAGAGTACGCACACGTCTATTGGGTACCTAACGAGGTGTATACGTTTGTATTCGTTGCAACGGTTCATCGACACGCATGTTCCTTGTATCCTGCTCCTAATATTTTGAGCTTCTTGCGAACTTCAAGCGGAAAATATAAGGCAAGTGTAATTTTTGTATATTTTCGTGGTAGATTAATAAGAGTAAAATAGGCAGAAGAGAAATATAACTTCTTACGGTAGGCAATAGCCATAGTCAATAAGTATAATAGGTACGTGTTTTTATCGACACAGTGTAGGTATACGTACATTTATTACTATAGAATCCAAACGACCGCGCGTACACACACATAGAACTATTTACACACACACTATACCAATTTTGTCAAAAATATTACGCCGCGAGTCTATTAAAGGTCTTATCCGACCGATTGCGCGTTGTGGAAACACTGCCGTCAATCATCCTATCGATAGATATATCGCCCCGCGTTCGCGTCATACGTCATACATACGAATATGAATATACCTATACCTATTACCCCTTTATAACCCTATACTCTTTCCTATCTATTTTCTTCTTCTCCTTTCCACCATTCACCTATCCCCCTCTTTCTTTAACCCTACTTTTTATTCTACTACAATAATTTACTACCTCCGTATTTCCTCGACAATTCAATTGAAAACACGAATCCGTGATAGTCTGCAGCACGCAGTTATCTTTATGTTCTATTTAAAATTTAAAAAACCCATAAAAATATGACACCACGATGTTTTTGAATTTTTTAGGTTTCTTTTATGCAGAAAAAATTCGTAAAATCTCATGCCATATTATTACAATCTGCTGGTAAATAATAATAGAAATTGGAGGTTACGTCCAAAAATTTTGTAAGAAAATTGCTTCAGTACAAAATTAATGTAACATTTTATTTGACAACTTATGTGGGAGCAAAAAGAACTTAATATTAATTTGAAACGGTATAGATGAAAAAACTCCACAGTTCGATTTAATTTACTTTATATTATTATAAAAGTTAAATGCTCTATTTTTTTTCATTTTAATATGCTTTACGTACATATATATACACACTTAATATTCCCTCCCAATCCCCAATCACTTACTTTTCAACGATACCACTGCTAGAATTTCCTATAATTTCAATGGACTATGCATTGGCAGGGAAACTCAGTGTTGGATTATTGTGGATAAGGGAGACGTGAATCAATAAAGTTTGGGAACCGCTGAGCCATTGAGATCTTAGAATTAGAAAAGTTTTGTCAGAAAATCGACCATGTTATAGCAATAATTCGTTTTTTCCTTTTTGATACTCACGTTTATGTGTCGACCCGGATCGTCCTCGACCAATTGGCGGGCTATGTCTTTGCAGGATTTCCTCGACGGTATGGGCACTTTGCCGTCGTCCTCCCAGTAACGGCTTGGCGAGTGTGCGTATAACGCCGAAGGTGTGGCGTGTGTGATTCGAGTGTTGGTCACGATACCGGTCGATTTTCCTGTTAAACGAGAGAAAAAAAAATATTATTTAGATTGACTATGAAATTATATTTTGAGAAAATTGCAGGTTTTTTCGATTATGCATTGCACTGAGTTACGGCGTAAACAAATTAAAATAATGCACCTACACACATTTTTGACGACCGTGCAAAACGGCGAATACGATATTCAAGTAAGTAAACCGTTCCCGCAACCCGAGAATTTGAAAAAAAAAAAATAAATATATTATAAAAAGTAATAATTTGTTTACAGACTTTATCGAAATATATAGATTCCGACAATTCATTGTAATACAGGGGAAATCAATTTACCACATTCGACGGCGATTTCATTAATAACTTGCCATCGAGTTGGATGAAAATTTAAAAAAAAAAATTAACAACGGTAACGAAAAAACTGACACTCTATTAACGAACGGTTAACCCAGTAGTCAACAGAGTTACGTTCCTTCGAAGTTCGCTTAATTTCGGATAGTTTTCAAACGGATATTTAATAGCAGTGATTGGATTATCATGTATTTGCGTTTGTTTGCCCACCTTTTGGTCGGATTCTGAATCGGTTCATATTGTACTATGATATTGGTAACGACGTCACACATACAACATATCATTGTCGTATATACACATCAATGATTTTCAAGTTTTGATAAGAAATTTCCAAAGAATACTTAACGAAGTATTTCCTTAGATTGTACTATTTGACAATTCAATTATCAGACATTCCATTTAAAGCAATATTCAATATCGTGTTTGTGAGTATTGTATACTACAGTGGTTCCTAAACTTTTGGTGTACATAGACCCCCGATGAAAAATTTTTAGAAATCGCGGATCCCCTACTAATACCTTATTTTTTTTTTTACAAAATATCTCATGTGATCATAATCGATATTTACTGATAGAGTTATCACGGACCCCCAACATAAATATCACAGATCCCCAGGGGTTCATAGACCACAGTTTAAGAACCGTGTACTACATGACTTCTCAATCACCACGTTCAGATTCAATATTCAGATCGGTTTGTCTTTTCACATTATTTGTCGCAAAAAGTTGTTGGATTTGTAGTCAGTGTCACAACGAAAGTACAAAATGGGATTCTCTTTGCACCAGTCATATCTGTAACATTTTTTAATTTTCTCCGATTTCTTTATTAGCTTCGGCTCTATATCCATCTATTTGCAGTGGATCATAGTATCCGAAGTTACAACGTTGACCACTTACAGATACTACAATCGAACGATCCTAAAATGTCACCAGATTTATTGTTATTTAAAGAAACCACTTCCTCCTAACTTCCAGTTAGTTATTGTTATTATTACTGATCATATACTTTTTGTAATAATGATAAAAATGAAATATAAAACCATTAGATATAATACAAATTGATCGTTTAGTGATGTTGTTCTGCATTTCATTGAATCGAAAATTACGAGCATTTCGCAATAACTAGGCTTTCCCAATTATTAAGAAAACTATTAGGGAAACGAAACAAATAACCTTTTCGATTTAACAACTGGACAAAATTTACTACTGGAAGAAGATTTTTGGTTGTGAGTTGCGAACAGACAGCAAAACAAAAATAAAAAAAAACACTTATAATATTATCTATAATTATCATATAATACGATCAATAGGTTTGAAATTAAACTTATGATACTTATATTATATACAATATAATTACACTAAAATTAATATAGTTGTATTATTATTCACAAATTTAATCTTGAATATGGAATTTCGGTTAAAAATTGTGCAAAATGTTTTATGGTGGACGTACACGGCAATACTATATGGACTACCTACCGTACAATAATAATAGTAATAATATTATGATTGTCGGCTCGTAACAGAAACGATAAATTATCTGTGTGTATAGAGTTTGTCGAAAGGAAAAGGGTATATATACAAAGGTCAAACCCGTCCGTTGTTTTTGCAGGGTTGTATCGTTTTTCCGAATGGATTTAGATTGAAAAATAATATTGTGTCGAAAATGAAAGCCAAAGGACGGCGGTGAGGCAGCAGTAGCGACGCGTATTGTATTAAAACGAAATTCGAGTGGTGTTGCTTGAAAAATAAAAATGTATAAAATATAAGGTTACATATAGGTTTTATAACCCGCCCATTGACAAAATGTGTACCGGATTAATTTTATACAGTAGGTATCGATAGTTATTCGATCGAATCGGACGAGTTACATGAAATGTTTAAAAATTCGTTTTCTATATTTTAACTAGACAGGGTGTCAGTGTCGTATATAGATACATTTTAAAATATCTAGGACTAAAAGATTTGCATACGGCCAATCACTTGATACGTAGTGAAAAAAATCGTTGAGATAATATATACAACGGGGCGTTCGTTATTTGAGAGACTAATATACTTCTTAGTAGTTAACACATTGCAAAACGTGTGAGAATCTAATGTCGTCCCCGCACTGGCGTGGTTGCAGACCACCCAATCACTTTATTAAACTAAATTTTCTTCTTTTAAAAGTTTAATTGTCAGCAAATCATTGTACATCGGCCCCGACGCGAGGACATTTATTTTAGTTTCTCAAGCGATTGAGATGCTTGAGAAAGATTTTTGAAAATCACTCTGTCGAGAACCCTGAAACAAACACATACAGTCACTACCACCTTTTTTTTCGTACATCTCTCTTGAATAGCTAACTCCGACTTTTAGTAGCTATAATCACATGTGTTCAATTTATTTTATATATTCATTTTAATTATTCAACCTTCTTTCTGTCCTAATTTAAACATTAACATTTATTATCTGAGTACACGCAGTTTCTAAGTGTTGAGATTAATTTAGATTATTTTGATTGAGTTGTCACTGCCATCCTACAGTTCCAGGACCACGTGAACCACGCGAGGACACCTACGATCGATACCCCAGCGTTTCAACACCGTGGGCAGGTAAAAAAACTATAATTTATATTTATTGATATCGTCATTATTCTCGGACTAATGACTCCGTAGCTCTCAAAACAGCGAGAGAAAGGTAATGATTCAAATACCAAATTTAATATAGGTATCAAAGTAAAACACCCCGTTTATCATTTATAATATTATAATTATTATTATTTATCATAATATCATTATCCCCCCTCCTTATATCCCCTTTTTTGTATTACTATAGAAATGATAAACCATTGCTAACAAAAAAAAAAAAAACAATTTTGAGCGGAGATCAGTTAATAATGATGCTTTGTCAATAATATATTTGTCATATTATGGTCAAATAATTAAATAACCATTATATATTTTCTTTTATAATATTTGTTTAATATTGCACCGATTTTCAGTTTTTTTTTTCCGGTTTTTCATATTTGTTGAGAAAATTCCTTGGATATCGAAAAATGACCTTCCTAAAGTACCTTATCAGTCAAATTTCCTTTTAGAAAAAATGTTTTCATTGTAAATTGGAACAAAATTGCTGGTAGAAAAGTCGTTCACAGAAAAAAGTCACAATGCGTACCAAGTCAACTATCTAGATACGGATTAATATCAGATACATTTATTTATAGATAAAACAGACTATTTTGTTCATAACCGATCATAAAACAAACATTCTATAACAAACATTCCGGATTCGGTACACACCTTTAATTATTTATATTAGATAACGGATCAAATAACTTATTTCTCATTTAGTTAGATAAAATACAAGATTAAGATATATTCCTAAGTAGATAAATTCATCTAGATAAAACACAACACTGGAAAGGGTAATATCCGTCAATGTTTTATTTATTTATTTTTTTTTTTGTTACAAATTTTCTCCTATGAAATTTAATTATTATTGTATTTTTAATACCTACGCCAATGTAAATTTATTACTGCATTTAATCCCGTTTTAATCCTTAACAGTAAATTAGGTATGCACTGTATTTATTCCACTGTACTTAAGTAAATTATTTATAGGAATGCCATATCAATATACCTAATATAATATGGTTGAAAGGAACGTACATTCTATGCGAAGCTTATTTACAACTCGGCTTAGTCGTGCAATTTGTAATATTGATTTTCAAAGTTTTTTTTTTTCACAAAGTAATATTATAATGTATTATTATAATTTTATTAAATTAATTTAAAATATTATCTCAATGATTGTAACTGTTATAATCAATACTTATTATCGATATTTTATTCTTGTAACGCTTATCAAAAATACCACGCGTACGTTATATTATTAAGTTTTAGCCAAAAAGCACGTGCCAAAAGTATGTTTATTTTAATAATAAAAAAAAAAAAAAACAACATTATTATTATACAACGTACATCCGAAATAATAATTATCGATTGAAAAAGCGTAAACTGATAAACTGAGAAAAAAAAAATAATAAAAAAATAACGTTCACAAATATGTATTGGAAAATTAATACGTAACGTTTTACTGCTTTGATGAACGTGCAAATATTTATACAACGATAAAGAATTTTATGAACATCTACAGCGAAACCGGAACACAATAGCAATAGTAATAAGCCAGAGTTGTATTCGATTTTATTATTATTATTATTATTTTTTTAATCGAGTAATAAAATTTCCGTCACAAAATATTATTATAATTATACTGCGGTTCTTCCCTGTCTTATACATTGTATATGAGAAAAACGACAAAATAAAACGTGAGACATTGTTGTGTGTATACCGATAAACGTCGCCAGACCAATAATTTCGAAATTATAATGTTATTATTATTATTATTATTATTACATTCAGTATTGAAGGTTATCCGACTAACAAATGCAGTGAGTGTGGAGCTGAGAGAGCACAGAATTCTTTCAGTGAACATAACCACCGCAACGTATGTGCTACGCCTTCTTTTTAAAAAAAAAGCTCCGCGAGACGATACACCAAACTTTCGCCTTATCTTTTGAACTTTTCCTGTTGCCGTTCCTCAAAAATATAAATACTCAGCGTGTATTTAAATACTTCTAAAATACTTGTTTAATTTGGCTCAATAGATAAATTTAGTTTTTTACCGAACCAAGTATGTTTGCAAAATCAATTTTGATATTTCTAACATAAAATTCAATATTCAGCTATTTATATACCAATATTATTAGTACTTTGTGCCACTTAATTTATTTTATTTTTAAAAAATGAATATAAATAAAATATTCTGTAAATTAATTCTGAAATAATTTAACACGTTAAATGAATTAAACAAATGTTATGAAATAGGAATTATAAATTTATCATCCCATAATCATTTCCAAAATGTTGTATTGCACTTAAACAGCATGGTTTATTCAAAGTGTTAGCTTCCCACGGTAGTTTAATTTCTGTCTCATTCGTTACTATGCACTGTCAATTTACGTTTGTCTGACTTGGTTTTTTCGGATTTTAACGAGGATGACATCACAATATCTAAATCACGGAATATAAATTATAATATATTCTTTTATTACTTTAAATATTGATTAGCAACATGGAATTTTTTGAAATTAAAATACTTTAATACTGTTTAATACTGTGTTTGAAATACTTCTCAAATACTTAATTCAAAGAGTATTTAAAACTATAAAAGTAATTAAATAGATTTTCTTAAATATTTGTACACTAATGCTTTAGACTGTCTATAAAGCAGTGCGTATCCGCAAGGAGCATTGGGAAAACGTGCTCCCTCTCAACACGAAATCTTTTTATTGGTCAAATTGCAGTTTTTATTTTAAAAAACGACAAAATAAATGCGGTTTGGAAATTTGTTACGACGCCTCGACGGAGAGTGTAACCCAGTTGTTGTGTTTATATTATAGTTAAAAACAAATTAATGAAAACAATAATTAAAAACTAGCTGATGAGATGGTTTATTTATTTTTTTATTTTTTAAATTTTTCTCTCGAGTCGTAAATAAATTTAAAACTAACTGCGTGTAAACAGCTGTGTGTACAAAAATTACAGAAAAATAAAACAATTTATAAATCGCATAAGCATCTGCGGCATATAATAACAATTACTTAAACTTAGACAACTTAGACGTTTACGATCGATCTTCGTTTAGGTGAAATAATATAAAGTCAGGTATATTTCCATAGTGTCATTTTAATTTTCGAAATTACCCATGTTTTCCCAAGACAATATGGGTATAATAAAAACAGGAACTATTTGACGAACCAACCGCTTTCGGTTTAATACAATAATATTTTATAATTTAATCATTTTTATGTTTTGTTCTACTCTCGGGAAACTCACTTGTATCACAGACTTTATTTCGTTCAAATTTCAGTTAATTTTTGAAAATCGACATAGACCGTACCAACAGATAAATGTTATTATTTAGTATTACATTTGGCAATAATAATACACCTAATACGGATATATTCGACTTTTAGTATTGTTTTGCAACTATTTCAATAATTGATAATAATTTTATTTTGTAGATTTTTATAGAGGTGTTATTTTTTTTATAATCCATCCAGTCCACTCGAATTAAGATTTCGATTATTTCATTTAGGTTTTTGAACGTACGTTTAGAACACCTTATATTACCGTCATGTCCGTCCGTCGCTAGTTTGTCATATTTATCTAAATGATAAGTGGATTCATTTAATATAAATTTATACTAGCCAGTATTAAAAAGTATAATTACCTAAGTTAAGAATTTAAACAATTTCCTAACTACTAAATACCAATGAAGTTACATAATTAATTTAGATTTATACTTTTATAATACAATACTGAGTTCTTTAAAATCTGAATAACATGGAACTACAGTTTATAATTTACTTGGAAACCGGGAACTTTGCATAATATATTAATTTAGTTAATTTAAAATTCAATAAAAATACGAACATTTTTCATACTTTTCAATTATAAATATCAGTAATATGTTTTATTTAAAAACATTTAATTAAGTATTTTATTTTAAACTGAGAAGAGTATTGAGGGGGGGCTTAGGGGTGCATCTTAAAATGTTTCAAACCACTCCGGAGTTATTTCCTGCAGAAGGTTTTAGTCATCCCACAACGTTTATTGTTAATTAGTTTACAAAACAATTATTTATAATCCCCTACTTTTTTTCTATCAATATTTTACAAAATATAATGTTTTTTTTTTTTAATCAATCGACAGCAGTGGATAGTGATGATTTAGAATGAATAGTTAGAGAAAATTGTAACCACCATAAAACGCCTATTTTTTGTTAATTACCACGTTTGATTTTTTTTTCTCCCCTAAAATGAGGTAGGTTAAAACGTTTAAGTTAAAAACAGTTAACATGCTGTTTTAAATACTCGGTTGTTTAAATGTAGATGGTTGTGGTATGTCTCCATCTTATTAGCCTGATAGGCTTCTTAAAGTTAATTATTTTATTGTAAACGTGTGAATGGACTTTATTTTATCTTTAATTTTACCTTAGTATCTATGATTTAATATACGAACATTTTAAAGTTTTAATATTTTACATAACTATAAATCACTTTAAAATTAAAATGTCAATAAAAGCTTCCGATATACCCTAGATATTACATTTAAGTTTGATAATAGGTAAATTGACTAATATCAAAGCTAACAGCATTAAATTTATTTCGCTGAATAAAAATGTGCGAAGTTGTATGTATGCAAGACGGAAACAATACATACGGGTGTGGCGTCCTCTTAATAACTACTCATTGATTTTGTATCATGACAGTCCATGGAGTTACTTTATATTAGATTAGGTTTTTATAACGATTTAAGATAGTATCTAAAATCATTAGTTATACACATAGCAGATACGATAATAACGATAATACTAAGAAGGTTATGTAAATAGATGAATACTATACAAAATATAAGTAAACACTGGAAAATATTGTTTTTCGTGGGACGAGTAAAATTTGTATTCGAAAGGTAATTAATTAATAAATAAAATTAAAATGATAAAATTTAAAATAATAAAACATCTGTAATAAAAAATACTACTACTCTTACATATTTTGATTAGGTATATGCTCGTTTAGTTCCAATTGTATGTAAAGCGTATAAGAAGGTTTATAACACCAGCGGAAAACGATTTTTCTGGTACTTGGTTTAGGTTTAAGAATTCCGAATTTGTGGTTACGAATGATTACGAATTGTTTACTAAAGAATTGAACTAATTTAAAAGAACATACTTAAAGTTATAGTGCCATTGTAACGTGCACCTCCAAAAATGAGTTACCTAGCTCTATCTCATTCTACTACCGTTTTCGTATTACACAGCAGATACGGAACGCTCAGTCCATTTATATTATTGAATCAATGATTTTGCTAATGAGTAAGGTAAAATTAGTAAAAATTCCAAGCCCTCCCCCTCAGCCCCCGGAGATTTTACCAAATATCCAACTATTATGTTCGTCAAACTGAATTATGGACAAATATCGATAATTCGAAACGGTTTTTCGGTTTGCACACCCGAAACCACGCAATAATTGTACGGATAATAACATAATCTATGTGCGGATTATTAAATGAGCATCGTAATATTATCATGTCGATAAATATAACACTGCGGAATATCTGCAAATAAACTTAAACCAAACATATGTTGTTGACTACGTTTAATACTGTAATTTAATATCTGATAAATTATGTTTTAAAGTCAAATATACAGCAGTTACTTATTATATTCTTACTTAAAATATTAAATTATATACGTAATTTATACATTAGCCCGTCAAAGATGGAAATCTTATGTTTGTCTTTTTTCTTCGGGAGACTTCTCAGTTTTTCACGAGTATACAAGTATAGAAGTATATCCTGTTTATAAGTATTTTTCTACTCCTCCCACGATACGGTCTCCCACGTTATCTCTTTTAAGCACATTGCATACCCTGTCTATAACGCGATCTCAATATTATTTTGTCCATAAGTTATATCATTTTCGGGGTTCCTCTTTCCCAACCACGTATTGCTTTTACAATCATTTTTTATAGTCTCTTCTTTTAAAACAATAAAATATAATATTATGAAAACAATTTCGTTTAAATGTACATATAGTTTTTGAATAGGTATAATTCGTATTGATTAGTACTCTCGGTAAATATCCTCGAAATGATTAAAACAAATAACAATAATAATTGATTTCAGTTTTTATATTCAACATAATAGTAAAAAAAACAAGAGACCTTTTTTAGTAATTTAAAAAAAATAAATAAATACAAATATAGATGGTCTTGACAAGCCCCAAAGGCAGAGGGGGTGAAAATATTTTTTAAAATGTATATATGTGTTACGAGCAAAGCAGGAAGTCCGGCGCACAATGTCCGAACATTTTGGGCTATGTTAAATTGCTCAATTCATTCCAATTTTTCTCATATTGCTAAGGTACAGTATGATCGAATGCCCCGCAAAGTTTATCCTGCCATCCTGCCCGAATGCAAGTGGACAAAGTGAATTAAAAACAGCGGAAATTTTTATACGTAATAAGTCACTATACCTATACTTACATATTATATTTGTTGACACCGTGACTATTGAGATAGGTAGTCAGGACAAAGTACATAAGTATTGATTGGATATAGCTGGATCCAAACAAGTATAAATTCACGTGTAAATACGATTTAATAATAATATTATTATAACGTAATTATATAAAATAATATTTATTTTATTGATAAAAACCTCATTTGTGTGACTTTTTTAATAAAAATCAAATCTTAGTCTGTAATTACCTAATTATACAATGTACTCTCACTTACAATTTAATTTTTCTCGATAAAATACTGAAGTGCCTAATAAGTAGCAGTTACGATTCATCTACACAAGTATACATGTATTATGTATAGACGAAATATCAACGGTTCTCCGAGGCTTTCCCGATGGCGTAGTCCAACCATGCTATATAAATTGAAATAAAAATAATTGTCGATTACGTTTTTACTCTAGTGTTTAGCACGGAAAGTAAAAATAAAAATATTTCAAACGATTCGACAAGTTATATATGTATAGATTTTTTATTACGTACCTACTCTTCTGCGGTGTATGAACATGCTGAATCGGTTGTTTTTGAGTCATTGGAAAATACGAGGATGAAAACCAAAATCATTTTACGAACACAATATACGAAAATATGGAAACGAGTATAAAAATAAAAACGCAATACAATAAAATGGTGAAATCTGGCAGTTTCTCTCTTATACATGGCAACTACCTCGTGTGTACTGTGTTCACTGTTGGATAGAGGAGCAGAGGATCGTTTAAATTTCCGAAAACGAAAAAATGAATTCAACGGTGTTTTTTACGAGCTGTTCGCGTGGTATTAGGTACTATACGGTTTTAAACTCGGTACGCGTTTATGCGTTTTTTATTATTTATACTTGGGAAAATAACGAGTCAGCTGTTTCGATTTTCTAAAGTGCAATTCCGAGAAAAGAACAAGCGGCGTTGCACATCACATTATTTTCATAAGGGCCGCAATTTATATTATTTTTTAATTTTATCGGTAAGTCGTATAGTCCCAAAAACGCTCGTGCCCGCGTCCTAAAAGTATTGAATCATTTTAGTATTTTTACCATCGTTAGCGTATTATTATAATCGTATTCGTTTTTTTAGGAACTAAAAAAATATATTAGCGAAATGAAAAGTAGAAAAAAAGTAGAGGAAAAGTCAGGGTTACTCGGAAAACCTGAAACTCAAGTTAGAAAATTCCTAATTAAATATTAGGGCTTATCGAGTTCCGAATTGATGCATTTTATAATTTTTCTCTTTTTTTAACACCATTCTATATTGGACGAATTTTAAGGGCACATTTTACTACATATTTCGCTTGTCTATATTTTTTTTTATTTAACATTGTATGTGCAATATCTAAAAAACAAATATTTACAATAAGTACATGTTTTTTAAAAAAAAAAAAATAAACCATGAAAACACATGAAGTGAGTAGTCACCCAGTAGCAACACTCTGCTTTTGTGTGTTTAGAGCTTTACTTATAATCATACGATTTCCTGCTACTTCACGTACTTGACATATTTCTTTGTTTATTAGATTGAAAACTTGGATGAGATGCCACATGTGATAAAGAAGATTGACTGGTTTAGCGTAACTCAATAAGTTTGATGTCATAGTGACATCAAAATGACATAGTGCAAAATCATTGAATGATTTTCCAGAAAAAAAAAATTTAATTATTATTTTGATCATTACAATATAATGTGTAAAAAAAAAAGATCAGATACTGCTGCCGAATGTGCCACTTTTTTAAGTGATAAATTAGGAAAGTAGGATAAATAGAGTAATTTTATTCATGTCTGTATACAATGATAATATATTGCTAATGAAATACAATTCTGAAAAAGTTCTAATGTACGTGTTTTAAAATGATTTTAATTACTTAAAACCCGCTTATAAAAACATATTACTTCATTACGCTAAACTAATTTTTTTTCAATACTAGTTAAAAATGATGATTAACATCGTGTAAGATTTCCGAGCGTATTCGTTTGGCCAAACAATTAAATCGTTATATGAAATGGGGACTAAACAAGATTTAAAAAACGTTAAATCCCTCTAAAACTCAAAAATCACCAGAATAGTGTGAACATTTGATCGCGAACTAGAAAAACCCAGTATTAATATTGTATGATAATTCTTAACAAATTGCAATAAAAAAAACAAACGTGTAAATTAACGAAACCGTTATTGTTGTAAAATGTCCCGGTCTTCTTTTGTTTTCTCGATTTTTCTGAATTATTATGAACATTTTTTGAAAATAAAACAATCACCATGAAATAATCCAATGCTCTATAAATAAGGTTTCTTGTATTTTTTTTTATTAGAGTGAGATTTCTGGTAGAAAAATGTGTTCACAAACACACAAACAAATTCACACACATTCTAGTAATACCAATGCATTCCTCACTATGCTCATATTCTAATATTAAAAGTAAAATATAGATGCTGGTGTATTGAATTACGTGTATCACACGTTTAAAAAATATGAACCCCGACATTTTGTTCAGTTCTCCTGCCTTCTAAAGGTAAGGTAAGATCTGAAGATAATTATTTCAGATTCACTAGTGTATTATTAACTATAGAGAAAAAGCTAGCTAATCAAAAATTCAGTTTAAACACGACTATATACAAGTACGTGCCTATTCAATTTGAGTTTATATACTTGCTATTTGAAAAGAGTGAATTTATGAATATTATAAAACATTTGATTTAAAAAAATCTTTAAACGTCACGATACGAATTTAACATGGTTTATATATCATAAGGGATATTATTTAAATTTTTCGAAAAACACTAAAAAAAAAAAAAAAATCAATGATAGCTTACGGGAAAATACAAATTATAAAAAACATTATATACCTACAGTATTTGCTTACAACGTTATAAAAACTTTAACTTTGCGAGGAAGAAATTAGTCTTATAAATGAGGAAATTGAAGAATAGACGAGGAAGTAAGAACGCGGGGTAGGCAGAACCTTTTACGTATTTTTGTAGTGCGACGGAAGAGAATTCTGCAATTAATTTTCCACTCTCCCGCAAAATCGGAGAACAGTGATGGTGGAGTGTAGCGACATAGGGATCACTCCTAAGGTTTTGGCCTCATTACGGACACCTTTATTAATGCGAATCGGGAGGACGAATCAATGCGCCGGTACACAAGCGATTGTGCCCCGGACGGAAAACGACCTATCGGGAATTAAACGGAACTTTTAGAGACACTGCGCACAAAGTGACCAAACAGTCTAAAATGGTATAATAAATTATTCTGTTTACGGTTCAGACGAATCGTTTGTATTGAGCAACGAACGGGATGAATCCAAAACGTTGTCAGCAAATTTAGTAACATGAGTACCGAGTACCCACGGGTCGCCGACAGGTTTATATTATAGTGCATTATATTTGTTTAGTTTTATTTAAAACCGTTTTTTAAATTCGTATAGTTTACCAGTTAAACGGTCAGATAATATTTTAAAAAAATATTCGTGTATAGCATGTATAAATATATATATTCTTACTTACTCATACTTATTCGTGTGTATTAAAGTAAGTATAACGTTCGTAAAATATTCGGAATAACATTTGTACAGATTTCTTATTTTTTTTTTTTTTTTTTAACACGTAGTCGTACCACAGGTGTACAAACTACTGAATAGTGAGAGCCAATTCAAAGATTCAAAGATTTTCAGCGACGGTACGATGAGCATCGTTTCATAGTTTATTTAAGGTTACAGTGTTTTTAGATCTAACTGCCCATTGAATCCAAATCAGTAGAAATATATCGAAGTTAGCCCAACTCTGGAAATTCTCCGGCAGGACATGGACACACAATGATTACACGGTTATAAATTTACAACTGCCAATCAGAATACAACAAACAGTGCGCGACACATTGCTGAGATACCGACTTGAAGTTCAGCTACTATGCATGAGAGATTTTATTGATTTATCTATGAAATATTATGATTCTATGAACTACGTGATAAATATAGTATTCTAAGGAACTTTACTCTATTAAAATATGAAATAAAAACCGTTTGAAATATTAGTCATCAAAAAACTGTTTTTTTTTTTATTTTTTATATATCATCATGGAATTCGTGGAATAGACAAATATTTCATGAGTAGCTCAATACCGTTTGCCTTTCGGTAGGTGTACGGTTGCTAGTTTCACATCTTTCATGGAAATATATCTCATAATCAACTATCTATTAGTAAAGTGTTTAGTTATTCTGTATATCCACGAATAAAGACAAGTACGGATGCCTAACGAGCAACGAAAAATGTGACCGCTAAACCGAATCCTTACTTTTACCAATTTTTTTTTTTTATTTCCCAGCGAATTAATCCCTCACTAGTGTCATCGCTGCTCTATAATATGTATCTCATTCATAGATAATTGCGGCCGTAACAGATATTTTTATAACACTATTTGAGTCTTCTCCCCGTCACACAGTCTTGCCTCCGGTTTTCCCCATTCGATATCTGAATCTTCTAGTCCGTAACTCCTCCTAACGCTTCCACGACGCTCCTGTCTAAGTCGTCCCATCTCAAGCGTGGTCCTCCCAGCGGCCTCTTTCTAATAGAATTGTCTTCGAGTACTGTACGCAAGAGTGGGTTCAAACTTCGCCGCGCATGCCCAGCCTACTGTTCATATACTTCGCCCCTTGTACTTTCCAATATATTTAGTTTGTTTAAGACTAGAAGAATGACTCTAAAACTCAACACGCAACATGATAATTACAATCAATATTGTACCAATCTTATAACTCGCACAGCCACATTATTATAGCACTTATATATTGTTCGTTGAACGTTTGTGTGTTTCGATTGCGTATGAACCGTCGAAATAATATACTACAAGAACAAAATATTAATTTCATATTTCTAAAATGTCCGTTTTGTTTTTCATAACACTTCGAATGCAATACATCACCAACAGATACTAATATTATACGAAATCGATTAAACATTTAAAATACATTATTAAAGTTTTGAATAATAATTTTTTTCTCGGTATTTGATGAAAATGAGATATAGTTTTTTACTAAAACTAACACTCACAAACGTAGGTAATCAAATTGACTTAATAATTGTACATTTTTGCTTGCGATTTAATTTAAACTTTTAAAATAATAATAAAAAATAAAAAAATAATTGTAAATTAAAAAATACTACTACGTTATATGTAATTAGGAACGATGCGCTCTCCTTGAATTACTCGGAAGTCAATGAATAAAAATATATAAAAAAAAAAAAACATAATTATTTTCCATTATTTTTACATAAATTACGTAAAATATTATTTTATCGTTAAATTCTCGTAGAATTTCCTTTATTTACAGTGAGTTTTTTGCTTCGTATTTCGTATACTATATTTAACTACAAATTAGAAAAAAAAAATGTATGGTATATATATTTCGATATAAAAATTTCTAAAACGGTTTTCTTGGACCTCTCGCTATATAGATTTAAAAATGAGGGTGGGTTTGTTATTTTTTTTTTCATTTAAAACGAATTTACTATCATCATAGATATAAGGACATCATTTTTTAAAAATGATAAAAAAAAAAGACGGGTTACATTAATTTTCAATCCATTTTAGATTCAAATCGAGCAATTAATTTATTTCACTATGATGTGTGTGTATTTTTCTTTTGTCCGTAAACAATAATTTTCTGCCAGACATCTTTCTTCGTTTATTGATTTTAGGGTAAAATGTAAAGTTACAGCGGCAGTGGAATTAGTAGTATAGTGGAGATAATAAGGTGGCGCTGATGGTGTCGTCCAAAGAATAGTGCAAATTTAATGAAATTTGATTTTTTTTATTTATTCATTGTTTTTTATTCTACTTGTTTTTTTTTTCCATCAACGGTTTGAGTTCATATTTTGACGTAAATATTATGGCTTTTTAAAACATGTAGGTATGAAAGTGAATTTCGCTCAGAATTTTATTTCGTTAGCTGCAATGGAAACAATATTGTTGCATACAGATATAAATTAAATCACATCTATAACAGTGACATATCCACTAGCAGTATCTGATTTTTTTTTAAATTCGTATTTTATTTGAAATTCTCATCAGCGGAGGAATAGCTTTAAAGTCTAAAGACTGACAAGTATTTATGGGTATTCTGCACCAGTGTTTAAAACCACGTAGACGACGTATGCAATGTTAACTTTAACAAATTTATGGTTAACTTGACCAAAAAAAAAAAAAAACATAAAAACCGTGTATAAAAAAGAAAGAATTTACGACGTAAATAAATTATATTAAACAGAATCCATATATGCTTTGAAAAAAACTCCTGTAAAATCCAAAGTTTTAAAAACAATACAATTTTCCAAGTATTATTATTAATTTTTAACCGGGGCCTGTGTTTAAGTAACTTAAATCCAAAAATGTTTTTAACTTATACAAAAAAAAAAAAAAACTATTTGAAACTTACTTCCGGATTTCCGCCTTTTGCATATTATAGCTCTGAGAAAATATTATGAAATTTGGTAACTCTAATATCGACAAAATCTTGTACTTTGTCGATAATAATACAATGTTTCGACATCGATTATTAAAATAATACCTTTTAGCCGTCGGGAAATATTACTGCAACTGTATACAATTAACAACGAGGTCATAAAACATGGCGACTTTCAACGAACAACCGTGCAGAGTTATGAAAAAAAACAAAGTTCTGGATGATGTTGTTTCGTTAACATATATGGACGATGCCGAAATTCTTCAAAAATACTTCACAAACGACAAAATCGATGCGTTTCTTTGTAACAATAATATTATTTTCACCATGTTTATCGTATTAACCTATTTGAGAATAAACGCGAAAAAGTTTAAACATTGTGATCGGTTTTTGACCCACTTCTTGTGGTCCGATCAATTTAAATTTTGTAATATTATCAATGACAATATTATAATAATCAGTAACTCGATTTTCCGTTTTCATACTCGTTTTCGATGTGGGTGGAAAAATGGTTTCAATCATTCGTGGCTACTGAGAATAAAAAATTAAAAATGCCCCATAAAACCTTTGTTCGTATTTCAACTACGGTAAATAATCCGTGGTCGGATTTTTGTTGAAGTATGACCACCGGTCATATAGAACTTCTTATATCTATTAATTATCAAAGAGGACGTTCGATGTTACTTTATGTTTCCCAATATACACCCCTAAAGATTGATGAACTTCAAAAAGTAATTAAATCTCCTCGGGAAACGCTGAACGGGACAACTAGTTATTATTATAACACGGCATTGTTGTTATGATAACAGACAACATTAGACACCTGCAATAGGTAGGTATATGCTGATTTGAATAATCAAATTTTGAAAATGGCAAAGTTGATCAGCACTTTTTAAACACTAAATTTTTAAAACACCAACTTCATGGACCTGAACAAGTTTTGGAAACTCATTCTGTAATTATAGTTAATAATTTAAAGGTATACGTTCAAAATCGTTCAATATAATCGTTTATCATTGTTTTTTTTTTTTTTTTTGGTCTTTGCAATGTAATCGTATAAACTCTATACTATATTATAACCAATTTATATTAAAAACAAAAATATTAAATGTAATACGTTTATCGGTTTTTTTTTTTTTTTTTTTTTTATAAATGATATTTAGCAATAACATACTATATAACGTATAATATGTTTGATGAATCTACAATAATCCGTTTGTTGTGTTTCGGTGCAGTCTATAGTATAAAAATTATATGATTTATAACGGAAATTAAGCTCTTTATACTCATAATATTAATTTCCTTTTTTTTTTGTTTGTTTGTTTTAAATATGTACTTTAATCTTTATCAAAAAAAAAAAATAAATAAAATACATTATTAAATTCTCGCATATAATTTTATTTTAGCGAATGGTAAAACAGTTGAGTATTGGTGACATAATAGCAGACATTCTTATTAAACGGATACAATAATACTTTGAACGTTATATCATTTAACCAATAGGAAATATTATAAGTAAATAGTTAGTGGGTTCGACGACGGCAAGAGATAAATACAACGATAATGGAATGACTAGAAAGTTTCGATATGATATGATTAGTCGATAATTGTGGCGTAAGTACGAACCACTCGAACAAATTAAAAAGAATAAAAAAAAAACGAATTCGCAGACGTCTTCACGACTAACGTTGGAGTTAATGCTGTAGGTAATTGACTTGTCGAATAAAACAGCTAGGTTTTAAGACGGCTACGAAGCATTTTTGTATTCGGTCAGTTTTGTAAAACCTAAATGATTAAAAATATAAATGCCACCGATGTGCCATTGGGTACACTTTGGACGATGAATTAATTGCTCCGAAAACTCAATGCACTTAATATACGTATCACGTTTTCGTTGAGGTGATTTTATAACTAATTCGGTTTCAACAATAGGTATACACCATTATAATGAATAAACATTGTCGGACACCAACGATGAGACGCGTTTCGCAATATCATCAAAATAAATCCTCATCTATTTCAACCTCATCGTGTTTAGGCGTTCTCCCTACTGTAGGATTAGAAAATATCTTAAACGCCGTAAACCTCACTATAGATATAATTTTAAAATATGTTTAAATAGTGTTGTGCTCAGAATTTTTATAGACGGAGATTATGAGAGGGTTTGGGTCTGAATAAAACTAGTTATAGATGTAAAATCATTGATTACATAGTGATTGGTACAAAACTTGGTACCTATTCCATAAAACAAGTTCAGTAGGATATGACATGGGTACACCACTATGCATAGTGAGGCCGTTAGGTACTTGAACTATTATAATTAAAATGTAGGAATTATTGAAGTCCTTCAGACCGAATCTCCGTGGAAGCTGGACATGCACCGCGGTGAACAGCTAAAAATAATATGAACGTACCTTCTTGTTGAGCCCAGTCGGCCAGCGAGTCCACCCTCGACGTAAAACTCGAATAACAACTTTCAAATTTTCCTTTTCCGTCTAGGCCGACCGTTTCGAAATTTGCTTTAACTCCGCATAGCAACGCGGTAGCGCACGCCGAGGATTCACCGATTTGAGCGTTCAAGTTGTACGTCTGAAAAAAATTAATTACGTACTTATACGATCCTTTACTATATTATTATAGTAGTTATAAAATATGTTAGGTTAGGTCATTTATAAAATTAAAAATAAATCTTCGATATTTGCCATTGCATTTGCAATATTATGCGCGCGTTACAAATCACATATTATTATCATTACAAGTTAGGGTGACCATACAAATAAAGTGATAACACGAGACACTTAAAAAAACAAGTTAAACGTGATTTAAAATGAAGAAACTTGTTAAATTATAAATATAGGTAGCACAAAAACAAAATAAATGTTTTTTGTATTCTGTATTTAGTTATTTAAATATAAAGAAAATATTTATACACAAAACAAATTGTATTTTGATGGTGATGGTTGGTCAATTCTTCTGCTATTTCTGAGTACGTTTATTTCTAACTCAATAATGTTATAAAGTATCAAATAAATTTACAAAAGACGTCTTAGGATAATGGGGCCGGTCAGCCACTGTTATAGGTAATTTAATGTAAACTTGTAAGTAACGATAAACCAGTACTTACAAAAAATCGATTCTTAGCGGATTTCAATTGATAGTGATGCTTTTTCAATAATATATATGCCATATTTTAATAAAATAATTAAATAGATATACACTTGGCGTCACAAAAATCGCACCTATTGCAAATTATTTTTCAAAGTAATTTTAACTACACTTAATCATATATAAGGGTACTGTTATGATATATCATTTGAAAGGTGATGAAATAAACTTGAAAAATAAATAAATGGTATGTGTTTTTGTTTATCAGTGTTTTAAAAAATAAGTTAATCGTGGAAGAGGAAAACAAATTGTATTGAGGATATACAGTTTTATAAACAGAAACAGACAATAGACTTCATATAAAAATAAAAAACTGTTACTAAATGTTATTTAAAATCTAGTGCTACTTCCTCTTGCCTTAATTACTGCTTCCATACGATTTTTCATAGAAGTTATGAGTCGTACGATGCGTTCTTGAGGAATGTTCATCCATTCCGCAACAACAGTATATTGAAGATCTTGGAGGGTTGTTGGGGCAGGATCATGTGACCGCACTCTTCGTTTTAATTCGTCCCAGAGGTGCTCAATTGGGTTTAGGTCTGGACTTCTCGCTGGCCAGTTCATAACAGGGATCCCAACCTCTTCCGTATAATTTTTTACAATTAATGCGGTGTGGGAACGAGCATTGTCGTGCATTAGTATAAACCCATCTCCAACAAAACCCGCATATGGTACCACATGCTCTTCTAAGATCTCTGTAATGTATCGATCAGAAGTTAGCGATCCTTGTCCTCGAGCGCCACCAGTTCGGGAAACGCACACAAGCTCGGTCTTGCTATCGATGGAAATGCCGCCCCAGAACATGCATGATCCACCTCCATACTCCACNTTGGTCAAGCGTCCAATTAAAATGTTCACGGGCAAAATGTAACCGTTCTTTGCGATGCTGTGCAGTCAGTTTCGGACCGGTAGCAGGTCTGCGGGCCACAATTTTTTGTTCTCCTAACCTTCTCCTAACCGTAGAGGTGCTTACTGTTGTACTGCGAGCTGCGCGGAGTTGCTGTTGAAGCTCTACAGCATTGGAAAATCGATTGCGCAAAGACGTCGAGACAATAAAACGATCATCTCTGTCCGTTGTGCAGCGTTGTCGGCCTGATCCATTCCTCCGGATAAAGCCACCAGTCTCTTGATAACGTTGGAAAACTCGTCGAACGGCAAAACGGCTCAAGTTTAGTTGCCGTGCAACATCACATTGACGCATCCCTGATTCCATTAATGCTACCACTTGAGCGGCTTCGTTAGCAGTTGTATCCATTTAATACGTTATTTTTTGAAATAATATTGTTTAAAGAGTATTCACGTACGTCCTTTTCAATGTTTAGGAAGTGAATGACCTGCATTTGACACTTTAAACTGATTTTTCTATAGCCAAAGAATATAAGATAAGATAGGAGTATATTTATACATTTTCCTAATGCACCGTATACTCGGAATATGATTATTGTTTATGAAATGAAACTACTATCGGATAAGAGGTCATTAACTGTACTTTCAATTTATATCTTTATTGTTTGGATTAAATGTTTTGGTTCGGGGAAATGCCCGTTTGAAACTTAATTTTAAAGATGTGCGATTTTTGTGACGCCAAGTGTATTACTTTCTTTAATAATATTTTTTTAATGTTGTACCGATTTCTCAGGTTTTCCTACGTTTTTCCATATTTTACTATGTTTTTTCCCAGTTGTTCACAAATGTTGAGAAAACTCAACGGAAAATCGATTGAAATGACCTTTTCAAAGTACCTCCCTAATGAAATTTCCTTTTAGAATAATTGCTATAATTAATGTCGGAGCAAAATTGCTGGTAGAAAAGTTGTCCACAGAAAAGAAAAAATATATAACCATCTTTGTAAAACTATAAGCTTCTTCGCTCCACTCGGAATCTGAAATTATACATTAACATTAAGGAAAAAACACATGAAAAGCAAAAATCCGTCAGTAGTGTCAAATTTTCTCCCAATTGACTTGCTACGATATCCTTGTTTTTTTTTTTATATATATAATAAAAATTAATTTAACCAAAAAATCGCATTCTTGTAACTGATATCATACATGTAAACAATGGATCTGTAGGGTTGTACAAAGCCAGAAAACACGCATTTTTTTTTGTAACAACACGGTCAATTTTAAAAAAAAAAAAAACTCTTATTCCCGAGTTGGTGATCTTATCTTTTCGATCAAAGAGAGCCGATAGAAGTGTCCAAATGTATCGGGAAAAATATCTATTGCAATGCGCATACAGTGTACAATGACATAGTTTCGATTTTTGAGGAATATTCGATAAAAACGGAACTAATATAGGACAGACCTGTAAAACCGTGAGAATCCAGTTTAATTTAGGATGTATGGTGGTCACCTTGTTATTGGTAAATATATCAAAGTATATAAAAGTTAATAACTGATACGCTGACCGCGAATAAGTAAAATAATATTGTAAGCGAATAATATTTCCAATTCGTACGTGTCAAATTCTATCAGTAAATTATAAGCGAATTAATATTTACGTATTTATTTTCATTTATCGTAGTAAAATATAAATTATTTAAAAGCCCGATTTTTTAGAGATGCATAGTTTATTATAGCAAAATGTATAACAACACAAACAGTGTAGTCTTTCCGTGGTTTGTTTGAACCATAAAATATAATAATTTAATAACTCGGCTGTTGTTCGATATTTAGTATATACATACAAAGTAATACGATATTTTTGTAAATTCCAAAGATTTAGGATAACAGATAGTTGAATAGTTTATAAACCTATACGACCGTAATAATATTTAACATTCTTAGTAAATCGAAAATCTGTAAATAAAAAAAAAAAAATCATAGGTTCCGGTTTCGGTTTAGACTGCTTGAGTTGCTCCTAAAATATTTCAAAAGTTGTAAAATACTTAACAATAACTAGGCCGACAACAAATTCCATTATTATCTTTGTGTGTAGCGGAGACTAAAAAACTGACAAAAACTTTTTTAACGGTCACTGTGGAAACTACAGTTTTCAAATATGATACACCACTATTGAGTTCTAAAAAAAATGGCCGTTTGAGACTTTTCTCGAAGTAATATTGAAAAAAATCGTCGACCGTGATGCGAACCGGGTATTTTTCGAACAGAAATTCGAATATCGAAACAAATATTAATTACTAACGTATAATACGTGTGTATATTATCTATTATGTATGTAAAATAACATGTCCTGGCCGACTGACTGATTCATCATCGCCTAGCCCGAACCACTGGATGGATCGGACTGAAGTTCGGCACACAGATAGCCATTATGACGTAGGCGTCCGCTAAAAAAGGATTTTTGAAAATTCAACACCTAAGCGTGTAAAATAGAGGTTTTTAGGTGTATTCGGTAGGAATATCTAAATGCTTATTTAATTTTGTTCGTTGAAGAGTTACGTTGGTCGCCACGGAAAAGAAAACTACTATAATTATTGTTGTCACTATTATTTACAGTGTTAAAATTTCACAATTCGGCGGACTATCGATTTTCCGCGTGTTTGTTCTCATTCAATTCGATTTTGGACATGGCGAAAACCATAAATTAATATTTAGCACCGAAAACGCCGGGGGCGGGACGGCTAGTATTGCATTACATTAATAGAGTAAATAAACGGAATAACTATTACGCGATAATAATGTTTTATTATCGACCGACGGTGTTTCTAAAACTGTTATTTCAAAATTTTTATCAACGCAATTACAGAACACGGGTACACGCATATTAAATACACGAACGGATTGTAGACGAAAAGTTCGGTGCCTTGTCGGTGGCATTACTTCTAAGTCGTATATTAATAAAATAAAGTTACTACACGCCGAACGGAGGGACACGGTTAAGCGGTCGGCGAGTTAAAATCCAATAAAATTACTTATCCTTGTTACCGAGTTGGTCGGCCCGCACACATATAGCGGAGTATTACAGTTGCGAAGTATATTTTGTGGGGACATAAGTAGCCATGAAAGACTCGGTAGTTCATTCGATACACCGAATTAAAACTTCGCGCTGGACCCGGACCGGCTTTTGAACTCGCATCGAAAAATACTAAGCCGTTAGTTTGGTACATTCGCGAACGTTTCGTTTTCATACGATTTGTCCGTAACACAATAACGAGCGTCGGGTATAGTTTCAAAGTATACCCAATACGTTTTCAAAATTCGACGTTTTTTTTTTTTTTTTTTTACTGAGAGTCGTATGTTATATAAATGTAGAAATACAATTTCTTCTAAAAATCGAAATTTTTATTTTTGTTACGGTTTTTCGATTATTCGAAAAAACGCTTTTTTTTTTTCTCGGAAATTTCGATCACGTCTGATCGACTTTCATCGATATATTTGAAAACACACGCGTTTCCGAGAAACGGTGTCGGTCGGTGTGCCCCGCGACTACGGCCTTTGATTTTTCGCGAAACACACAGTGGAGGAATAAAACGGCCATTAAATTATACGGATTTAAAATCGATTTTCCAACTATTAGAATATATTGCAACCGTACACTATCAATATTAGGCATTTGGAGTTAAAACAATCTCGCGGGCGACCCGATATCGTATTAATTGGAACCGTCATAGAAATATGCGGGCGCCGGTATTTCGGTACGCCTTTTCGAGGCGTGACGCGTTTCGATAATTCCGTCTGCAGATTATGCTATAATGCACACAGCCGAACGTACTCCGGTCGTACTACGCGAATAAAATCGAATTTTTTTTTTTGTTTTTTTTTTTTTTTTTATCGCGTATTGGTCGGCGACGGCGAGAGCACGAAAATCTCGGGACCGGCGCGCATGCGGGGCAAATACGTAAAACGGACGAAAAATGACTCTTAATTACGGTCCGAATTCAAAAATATAAATAAAACGACAAAAAATTACATTTCCGGGGTCGGGCCGGGACGGTAATAATAAGCTTCGCCGACCTGCTCGGGAGCTCTATATTATATTATAAACGATTACTATACTACGACGGGTGGGGCAACAATTCTAAAGCGATAAAAAAAAAAAAATAAAAAAAAAAAAAAAAGATTAGTGTTATTCTCCCCATTCGTTTCTCCGCCGCCGTCACGTAGTATCATCCTATTAATCTCTTACAGGACATTTGCCAAGGTTTCGTTTCCTCTCTTTCGGTGTATTAAAACGCGCACACATCCGACGCCGCACCGGCGATGTTCGTTTTTTACCCTTCTTCCTCTCCATCCCAATCTCGCCGCACTGACCGGCCGCTAAATTATTATTCTTCCGTTTTACAAACATCGTTGTAATATAAAACTATTATTTTGATTATAATTATTATCATATAGCCATTGTTCCATACGCCATACCTATTACTGCAGTTGCCGGGTCGGCGTGGAGGAGTGGAAGGGGGTGTTCAAAGAAATAAGAAATCTGTGTTTTCGCAGCATCTCTAAACAATAATAATAATATAATTCTTTTCTCGGGCAACCCGTCGGACAGCTGCATGCAGTCAGTCGCATACAATACAACAGGTCGCGTAATAATATTTAATTTATAGTATAAAGTTAATTTGCTTTTATTAAAACGACGCTTAAAAGTTTTTTTCGTTCAAAGGGTTTTTTTCAGGGATTTAACGGTCGAAAAAATTGCAGCACCGCTTCGACACGATGGTTTTAATTAGAGATCCCTGTCAGCGGGTACGTACAAGTATATAGGTACATATAGAGTAATACTCTTTTTTCCACATATTTAACTCGAAATAATAATATTATATTAAGAGAGAAGAAATAAATGTGCGCGTTGCTTTCTATTGAGGGTCACAATACGAATTTAATTTTGAAAACGAATATTTCGATAAAGCTTAAAGAGCGTTTTACGCATTCGTGATAGAACTGCTAGTGTCCAAACCAATATTTAGAAAGTTAAAAGTAAGACTACAAGGTTACCGCCCGCTAATTGTTATTGTCACGAAGGTTGGACGAAATAGACAAATAGAACAAATTTCGAACTTTCAAGCGTTAAATTTGGACGGGCATATGTGGACATGACAAAATACATAGGTACCTATGTTAATACGATAATAGTTTATTTACACGTACGTCGAACATTCCGCTCAAATATTTCGTCACTTTTTTATCTATTACTTTATCTTTCACTCTATTACCGTGGATCTCCGCTTCTTATTGGCCAACATTAGCGTTGTTGATACTATTTAGTGGAGATCTGTGAGTTATGACAACAAAATTAGTTTGCTGTGAAGGAAATCTGCATACTGAACGTGACGAAAATATACCAATATAT